CTACAAATTGTCCCTGTTCCTATAGGTACTATTTATTGTAGAGAAAAAGTCTATAATTGTAGAAATTTGTTCTACAATTTTTTTTCCGCTGGATGGCTCACCCTGTATAAAAAAAAATAATGAAATAATTTCTCTGTGCCGCAACTGTAGTTATTCAGTGTTTGCAAAAATATTCGTGAAGCATCCCCTGTAACAATTAATTTAAACCATTAGCGGCGTGTGTTCAAAATATTGGGGGTTCACAATGACATTATATAGTTATGTATTAGTACAGATGTAGGTAAAAAACTTTCAGAGACTTCGGTATTATATACCTTTCTAGAACACTGAAAATTATTTACCTACATCTGTACTGATATTCTGTCATTGTGAACTACCAATATTTTGGTAACAAGCCGCAACTGTTTTAAACTGTCCCTTGTATTGGACATCTCCCCAAAACTTATATTAATAATAATAACATTTATTCAGTAAAAGTTTCAAAAAAGTTACAAAAAAGTTACAAAAAAGTTACAAAAAAGTTACAAAAAAGTTACAAAAAAGTTACAAAAAAGTTACAAAAAGGTTACAAAAAAGTTACAAAATGTTACAAAATGTTACAAAAAGTTACAAAAAGTTACAAAAAAGTTACAAAAAAGTTACAAAAAAGGCCACAATTGAATAAAATATTAAATTTATATATTCTATATAAAGACAATCTAGCTTTTCAGTTTAAATTAAAAATATACTAAAATCAACAATTCTCCACTTTAACGCCATGTATCTCGAAAACTGGCCATAGTATCGGATTTAAAATACACAACTCTTAAAACGGTGTTAAAATTATTATATACTAAGAAAATGGTTACATTTGACCGGGAAAGTTTAGGGTGTTTGTGGTTTTTGTACTTTTATTAAAATAGAATATCTTCCAACAAATAAGCTGCCTTGTATATTTTGAAGCTTAGAGGTACGCATATTTTAGTGATATTACTTTCCACAAAAATCAAATTCATAAGTACAGGGTTTTGAAGTAATCTTTAAAAAAAATTATTTTGTGGTTCTCCCTATAAAACACCTAGTATAAGAAATGTGTATTATGCAATATGTGGTCGACACACTAGAATTAGTGAGATTTTGAAAAAAAAACTACCGTAACATTTGTGAATCACCCTATAATTAAAAATATTTTTAATTGTACTCATGTCATAATATATTACAAAAATATTAAACGCATTAAACGTGTGTGTGCAACAGAAATTCAATCTAGCTCGTAAGTTGGAACATAAAAATTCCGAAAAATTGGACAATTTTTCAGTATTACATACAAATACGATAATTATGGTACGTCTTGCAACACTGCTCTCGCTTTTGACATGATTTTTTATAATTTTAGTCGAGTGATATGAGCAGCAAGGCCAAATCATTTTCCCATAGTTGGAGAATAGGCTCCCTGAAGCGTAAGCTCCAAATATCTCTACGCGGTGACAGATGTCAGCATTCCATTACACATTCCTAAAATTTTCCCACTGTCTTATTATTTTGGTAACGTAGTAATGAGGCGATTTTAAATCAGTTACTAGAAATATGACCAAGTCAAGTGTGGTCAAGGTTCTTACGTCATTATAATGACGTTCTAATAATCTGATTCTAAATTGTTTATATTAATACTAACTTTACAATGCGCATGACATTGTCAGATACCGCGATAATTGATATAATCGATTAATCAAAAATATTCGATTCATGGAAAATAATCGAATATCGAACATAATCGATTAATCGAAAATAATTATTCGATCATCGATTTAAAAAAAAAAATTGACTATTCTATTATTTTGCCCACCCCTACCTGAAATACCGAGATATAATAGAGGTTGCGTTCATAGTAACAATTCAGAATAAAATTAATAATTTGGACATGCGCTCAAAGTATGAATTAGTAGTTTTAAATTAATTCAGGATTGTTACCATGAAGGAATCTATTAACTACACTTAAAACAAACCCAAATTTAAAACGGATTTAAAATATATTATGTTTTAACATTTTACGCTATAATTATTGTGATTAGGTGTTTAGTTTATAATTTATTCCCAAAAAAAAAAAAAAATAAAAAAAAAACTCTTTAAACAAAGGAAGTTGTTGCCCATAACACATTTTTTTATTAGATTGAAAGAAATTCGATTAAAGATCATTAGATTATTTTAAATTATCGATCGACCGAAATCGAATATAAAAATTATGTTTGATAAACTGAAAATAATCGATAAATCAAAAATAATCGAATAATGAAAAATAATCAATAATTTAATTGAAAATAATCGATTAACCGAAAATAAACGATTAATCGAAAATAAAATTAATCATTTTATTCGAAAATAATTATTTAATCGAAAATAATCAATTGATTATCGATTATTTAAAAAAATCGATCAATCGATTATTTTGCCCATCCCTAAATATGACTTTTTTTCAACTTTATAGACTTGAGGATGACTAATTAACCAAAACCGGTCGCCTAAATTATTAAAGTGTGTGGTACTGACTTTGCATTTTATTCTTAATATTAAAATATTTTTTATTACCTAATACCTACAGATATAAAAACTACCAACCTCAGAGGCAATAACAAATATGTCATTTAGAATATAATTATTCCTTCTTACCTTTTTCCAGCAAAAGTGTTAAAAAAAATTGTTCAAAGGAGTTAACACTAGATTGATTTATTTGCAGTTAAATTCAGTCAGTCAGTCGTAGAATGTCCATAATTTAAATAAATTGCATGTTTTAATTTAAATTATTTATTGTAAGTTACATAAGAATATTTATTAAAGAATGGTAAGGTGTAAAAATAATATATAATATTAATATACAATTCAGTAATCAGTACTACCTACAGAACCTTTATATCAATTATTTCTATTGCAATTCTCTATTTATACTTTTCCTCTTTACGAGGGAATATTAGTATTTACTCAGTCTGGAAAGGTTCTAGTAATTGAAATTGAATATGGTTAATATGGGTACAACTAAAATAAAGTTTTACTTCCATACGTTGAATAGTGATAGAAATGTGAATTTTTGAAGACAGTACTGAGGAAAACATGGATTTTTATATATTTGAGGTTCGGTTAATTTTATTAGTTATTGGTACTGAGAAAGTAAAAATTATGGATAGTATTCTTCAAATGTACTATGTTGGCACACTCATTGCTAGAAACTAAATACTATGAATAGTTTTCTTGCGTTTTATTATGTTTGAACTAGAGGTGGGAAGTTCGAATCTTTTTACTGAATTAATTCATTTGATTCATTCACCTAAAAAGATTCGTTCTTAAAGATTCGTTCTCAAGTGATTCACTTTAGCGAACCACGAACGATGTTATTCCGCCGATCCGTCGAAGGAAATCAAACCGAACGTTTACGAATTTGAGAACTACCTATTTACTAGGTCGTCGAGTAGCGTTCAGTCTGTAATGCGTAAGAAAGAATGTAATGATTTGAGTGGTGAGATGCTTAAGTAAAATAATTAATACCGGTTTTATTTTAATTTGATATTTTAAAGTATAGCGAATTAATATTTCATAAAAAGAAGACAGATGGAAATTTAAATACTATAATAGTAGGTTCATCCTTGTCCGTTAAGATAAACAACAGTAACACAATTTTTTTTAATGCTAAATATAGCCAAAACTAACGAAAAATTATAGATATATGATTCGTCATTTATTGCTTTACTTATTTACTTTGATTTAAATTTAACGCCCATAAATTGTTTACCTAAGTTTATTACACCTCTGGTAAAGTGAGAAAAACATTACAGACACATACCGCCACCGCCTGTAAGTTCGAGTTCTTGTATTATGCTGTAGAACGTAGAACAAAAGCGACCGATTTGCCGATGCTGATTTAAAATACCGAATCTTCGAATCAGATCCAAATGAACGAAACAACCAAACTCGCAATTGGGCGTTCTTGATCGATCACAGAGCCGTCGAACAATTGACTCAAAAAAGATTCGAATCTTTTAAAAACAGGGAATTAATTCATTCGAGTCAGTGCACTGATTCGTTCTTTTTGAACGAATCGTTCGCGAACGACACACCTCTAGTTTGAACCCCTCTAACTAGCGAGAAAGATAACTTATTATTACTACAGATGAACCTATGCTATTATAAGAGTTAATACTTTATTTGCGCCAGACTTATAACAAATATAGTAGGTACCTCTCCTGAGTCATAGTGATGATAAAACGTTTAGCTGAATTATCGAACTATTGTTAATACATTATTAGCATTGAACGTAGAAATAATATAGTATTCTCTCATGACTCAACGTGTAGAAGAATATAACGTTAAGCAGGTTTCACCTTGACTTGATATATAGCTATTGACAAACTCATAAAATGCCATATTAATACTAACCTAGTTATTATAATAGATAATAGTACATCATGTGGGCCACCTTTAAATATGTGGGTACTTCCACCTCAAGTCGTTAAACGTTCTACATACAGGGTGTTCCTCATAAGTACCGACACAGAACAGGTGCGTGTTAGATATCCCAAAATATGATGATTTAACGTAATTTACCTCTATATCAATTTGTACCCCTAAGGAGTTACGGAAGCCTAAAGTGGGGCCAATTTACTTAATTTACGCCCTTACTTTAGGCTTCTGTAACTTCTTAAGGATACAACTTGGTATAGAGGTAAATAACACCCTTTATAATTGGCACCCTAAATATTAACTCCTGAAGCCGTCCCATTCAGCGACCTCCCATTATCAGACGATAATGCCGAAGCGTTTTCTTGATATGGACAAAAATTGCTATTTTGCACCATATAATTTCTTATAAAGATCTGCCGTTGCTTTGAATTTCTCAAACTTTTTGGATCGGCTTGTTAAAATGGATGAAACGTCGATCCATCACTATGAATCAGAAACTAAAGAACAATCCAAAAAGTGTCTCGCGGTTCAATCTTTGAAAATCATATTTTAGTTTTTTGTATTTTTTCCAGAAATGGACCGCTGGATAGGAAAAGTTGCTGTTGTTACAGGCGCAAGTTCTGGGATTGGGGCTGCAATTGCAAAAGCTCTTGTAGAAAAAGGTCTACTTGTATGTATTAAATTTAAAACGCTTTCAATTATTATATTCCACTCTCAAGTTTTCTTAACACTTTGTGCATATTACAGGTAGTCGGTATTGCCAGAAGAATCGAAAAAATCGAAGATCTATCAAGAAGTTTAACAGACCAACCAGGTAAATTATTCGCTCTACGATGTGACGTCGTTAAAGAAGATGATATTTTAAGATCTTTTCGTTGGATCGGAGAAAATGTCGGACCCATCCACATTTTAGTCAACAATGCTGGTTTAACGAGACCAACCAATTTGACTGGTAAATGCAAGAATATATTTTACTGAATAAAAATGCAACAGTTTAGTAATTGGAAAAGGTTTACTTTATTATTTGATTTGAATTCGGTCTCGCGTATTGTAGTTTAATTTCGATGAAGAGGAACTTTTTCTATTTTTTTTTCTTACCTTCCAGCTTTTTCTTTATACGTTTATTTTCTTCTTTGTTTTTGTAATTTCTCCAATATTTTGTACTTGATTATTATTTTCCTTATTTTTCGCTAATCCTATCTGTTATAATTTTTTTCTTCATCTATGTTTACTTTATTTATGATTCCATTTTATGGAGAAGAAGGTGCAGTTAAAGCAAATTGGAGCAAGATTGTGCTTGGAGAGAGCTGACTGATGTTTCTTTTGTAATTCTGCACAGTGTCGGATTGGACCGTAATAGGAGTGAGCCCTCGTTCAGTCAGTGGGCCCTCCTCGTTCAGGCAGTGAACCCTTAAGAAGAACAAAGATTCAAATACGAAGAAACCCCGTAATACTTAACAACCTCGGAAAAAGCATCAGTGTGCAACGAGGATCTTTCTTTTTCCTCTTCAATGAATCGGATCATGAAAAAAGAATTCATAGATGGGCCCTTCTCCCTCCGGAACCAGTAGGTCCTGGAGGTCCCAATCCAATACTAATTCTGCAATATTCTTCTTCACCTTCTTCTTTTTATTCTTTTTTGTACATATTTGTATTTTAAGGTCAAAAGTGTTACGAGTAACTTTGGCGTATATAAATTTTAATTCTGGACAACCATGTATTTTACAGCGTACGCTTTGCTATACAATCTGTATTTCACGCATCCACAACTCAAAAAGTTTTTTGTTTAATGTTGATCGTCTGGTAGTCTGTGGTCAATACCCTGATGTGCTCTCCAAAGTTGAAAAATCGTAATCAACAGGCAATGATAATAGTATATGAGAAGGCATAGATTGAGACTTCTGTCTTGCTGTCAGCGTATTAATGCGCGGTCATATAAATAAAACATACTAAAATCATAACTTCGAAGAGGATCTAAAGAACATCAGATTCCTAGAAAGCACTTCTTGAGGTGGGTAAGAGCCTTTCTGGGTGTATATAAAGCTCCTAAGCGATCATTTCTTTTTTCTGTGAATGTTTGTATGACTGAATGTATGCACCTTTGTCAGTCAGTCATCTTGACTTATATGTTTTCTACACAGAAACCAATCACAAATTAATGTTGCTTGAACGTATTTAATAAAATCAATTAGTCCATTCTACGATGTAACCATAAGGTGTTTCACTACTCAGAAAAAATGGATAAAACCGATCAGGGTTGTTCAAGTAAAAATTCCCTTGGTATTACATTAGTGTATTTTCAAACAAAAAATTGGCAAGTCATTTGTAACGTGTCAAAAGTGCAATCGTGCAAATAATAGTTTATTTTAGCTTTTATGAAGTGTAAAATATGACTAGAGTCTAATTGCAACATATATTTATTGTGATTTACCACTTGAAAATATAGACAAAACTTAAATTTAAAAACCTAGTGGAACCCCTTTTCATGTTAATTTCAAACACAGTTTTCTCTATTATCTTAGTCATCGGAAATATAAATATTGTAGCTAAATAAATGTCTCTGAATTTTTTTTCACCATTTCCCTTCTTCCATTAGTTTTTATAAATAATTTACGACAAAACTTTTACTGCTTAAAGTCACACAGTCACGGCTATGTTAATAATATTAGGAACAGGTAAAGTATTTTTTTATAGTAAGATAAAGTTTTTGTTTACTTCTGGAAATTGCTATGGTATTGCATGGATCTATGTATTTTATTTTAAATATAAATACTGTTGCTTATAAAATTCTCTGAATTCTTATTGACAACCATTTTACTTTATCCAGTAGTAACTTCATTGGGGTTTGGAGTATATTTTTTAGACTTCTGTACAGTATTCGAGTGTTGTCAGGGTCAAACGGTAACAATCCACATTAAAAACAAGAGTTTTTTTCTAGAGGGTTCTACAGATGATTGGAGAAAAATTTTTGACGTCAACGTCATGGCATTATGTATTTGCACCAGAGAAGCCATCAAAGTCATGCGTCAAAAGAAAATAGCCGGACACATAATTCATATCAATAGCGTGGTTGGTCATCAAGTGCCCGTTTTGCCCAAGCCGAATTTCAATGTTTATCCGGCATCCAAGCACGCTGTTACAGCACTAACTGAGACTTTGAGACAAGAACTTTGTTACAATCATTCTCCTATTAAAGTTTCGGTAAGTATAAAGTGATCAAAACAAAGTCGTGCTAAAGTATGCTTTGCAAGAAATAACGCGTGTCGGAGATTACAATCATTGTTCTTTTTTTAAATGACAGTTCGGATTTAATTCAGAAGGGTCTGAAGTTATCACTGGTCTAGAATTTCTTATAAACAACAATCTTAAGCTGAACAGAATCAGAGTATAGTATGCAACGAGTATTTAATGATACACGAGTATTAAAATTACGACACTCGCCAAGGCTCGTGTGCTAATGAATACGAGTGTCTTAATAGCCATTAAATGTAAGTTGCATACACTATTTTTTCTACAACCGTTAAATTATAATAAAGAAAAATAAGTCATTTATTTTAAAAATTTATTAAACATAAATATAGAGGAAGAACTAAATAAACAGCAAAACTTTATCACAAACATAGAAATCAAAATTTAACAAATAAAGGAAATATTAGAATTATTCATTTCGATACTATTTTTGATTTATGGTTATATTGTTGATGGTACAGTCATTAAAATGCAACTGTGCTACTTCTGGCAGTTTTGTAACAATATTGGTTAATGCCGTTGTTGATGTTGATGGAATAATATTTATTGAATTGTTGGTTTGGCTATATTAAATCGAATTCAAAATTTGATTACCTACACGTGTTTGCATTTTTCTTGTCCCTCCAATCCATGAATTGACTATAAAATGTTTCATATACTTTTGTGGATTTTGATGGTAATAAATTATGTGTGGCTCTTGTGGCCTGTTCTACAATTTCTGGTGGAGTTAGATTATCGTTACTATAAATGTCTGCCAATTTTATAATTTTCAGGATTTTTATAACAAAGTGTCAAACTGATAAATTTTAGATGTCAGATATTCATGGCATATATGATTTTTACCAAATTTTGCTGTGATATTGCATTTCTATTGGCTGTAAACTTGTATCTTAATGAAAATCTGTATTTTAAAGGATGCCATTAAAGTACAAGTAGTGAATGTCTAATAAATAAATTAAAGCATATGAGTAGAAAAATTTACTCTTTAAACACATAACAAACCATGCAACAAACGCTCAAAAATTAATAAAAATCATAAAAGGAACCTCAAATTTGACACATTTGGCGATTGCATAGATAATAACAGTGTGACATAGCTGACGATTGTCAGAAAGTTAAAAAATACATTTTGAAAACAGGAGCGGGAATGTAGCGGGAATTAAGAGTGCAACCAACCACTTGCACCCTTCGAGCATATATTACTAGAGCCATCGTCCAAATGAATTTTGTAACACATACAGGGTGGGTCATCTTATACACATTGGTCCAGACTATGACATTACTTTTATACTTAAAGATGAATATCTATCGGGGCTATAATTTAAAAATATTTTGGGATCAAAAAGTTTCTATTTAAAAAGTACTGATACTGAAAAATTTTAAACATTACAGTCGTTGTAATTACTTAGTACAATATAGAATGAAATTAATAGGTAGAAGTCATTTCTCATGCAAGCTAGTAGGTGGCTTTCATGAAAAATGCCTTTCAGCTAAACTAAAGTTAGATTATTTCTATAACTTGGCAAGTATGCATTTTTTCAATTCGAGTTTAGTTGTTACGATCCCTATGGCAACAATTTCTCCGTAACTGATTTCAGCTAAAGTTAAATTAAATCATCTGTAAGTTGGCAACCACGCATTTCGTTGCCACCGAATGTAGGTTTTTGTTTAGTCGTTACTATGATAACTCTTCCAATGGCATCAGTTTCTCCGTAATTGATTTCAAGTAAAGTTAAATCATCTATAAGTTGACAACTATGCATTTCGTTACCACCGAATTTGGGTTTTTGTTTACTCATTACCATGGTCAGTATCCCTAAGTCAAGAGTTTCTCTGTAACTGATTTCAGCTAAATTAAATAATCTATAACTTGACAACTACTGTTTTCCTCACCACATGATTTGGGTTTTTGTTTAGTCGTTACCATGATAAAGGTCCCTATGGCAACAAATTCCCCATAACTGATTTTAGCTAAGCTAAAATTAAATTAAATCATACAACTTGGTAACTATGCATTTCCTCACCACGGATTTGGATTTTTGTTTAAACGTTCCCATGGCAACAGTTTCTCCACAACTGATTTTAACTAAGCTAAAATAAAAATTAAATCATCTATAACTTGGCAACTACGCATTTCCTCAACACGGGATTTTAATTTTTGTTTAGTCGTTGACAAGCATGGGGGGAGGGGAAGAATTTAAGTCAGAACCTACTAGCAAACGAACCTTCAGAGTTAACACAGACGGTTTTCAACAAAAAAAAACCTGTGTTTTGGCACATGTCTTATGATGTAATTATTCAGAATTGACAGATAATTGGGAGAAGTCATAATAAAAACAAATGTTCTCCTTACCAATAACTTTCAATTGGCATATATCTTACTACTATTGGGGGTGGGGCAAAACTGCCCATTCTCTTTTATAAAATATATTTTGAAGGCATGTATTTAATTTCATATTTATATTAATTGCAGAACCCATACAAATATTGCAACACTGATTGTAGTGTCTGCAGGCATTTTATCTCTGAACCCAAGCAAACACTATTGAATGCGGACTCTATGAAATATATATGCTCGAAAGTTGCACCTAAAGACGGTATTCTGCGATGCATGGCACTCTGTGACTGGAGGTAGATAAAATTAAAAAATATACACAATCTGTCATCACAATCTACCATTTATCGTATAGACAAAATGAGAACAGATTTTAAAACATGCATTCAAGATATAACAAGTTAATCCAATTTATTTAAAGTGATTAAAATCCCAAAATACTACTCTGGAGATGGGCAGTATAGGGATTTTAAACAGACGCAGGTGATGGAACCTTTAAAATGTGCGCAATAGGTACTATACGGTTCTAGACTTGCGCAGTGTACTTTATACTCAACCAAATGCTATCTTAGATGTATGAGTTTAACTCGCACTTGCATACTTTTTTAATAAGCTATGCCTCTGCACCACAATACCTCACCGTAACGTACTATAACTCCATAATTGTCGAACATGACCTACTATTATCATACCTACTGTAGAAAGAAATATTTTAATTCATAATGTTTGTTCCTAGATAACCTTTTTGCTGGTGTTATTCGTTTACTTATTAGTTAGCTTTTACTTATAGCCCAAGAGCCCACTGCAAATTTTTACCGTCATCTGATAACGAAATGAAATATACCCCAAAAGCATGGAAAAACATTGTACTTTACCAAATGACATCTGTGCCAATCCCTATCCTGAGCAAAGTAGCTTTAAAAAATTATTTCATATTAAAAAAATCACATAAGGCATGACAGCTCTAATTTCGTTTCGTCTTAAAGTTTTCCAGAAAATAACATTCAAATATATCTTGATATATATCGTTAAAGGGAAATATTTTCTTCCTCTTAACATCGCACAAAAACATCTATCCACGATTAGTAGGTAAAAATCATTAAAAATATGAATCAATGTTTGCTGATTTAAAAATTTATTTGTATGCCTATTGTTGTGATTCATTTTTACAGGTTGCCATAGGAACGACAAAAAAACTACTATGATTATGGTTTAAAATTGTCTAACAAGAGTTTATAAATATTATTGACTATCTCTGCAAATGGTTTATACAATACCATCCTTCTTCCTTTCATACATAAACATTGTTTAAAAGGTAGATAAAAATATTAATAATTCAGGTTTAAAAGCGAGATTTGCAATGAATTTCGTTATCAGATGACGGTCGAAATTTGCAGTGGGCTCTCATACTATTATTAGGTAGTAATGCCTAATGACACTTTTTTTAGGTTAGTATCATTTTCGTTTGTTTTACTTTTAGAGTATTAGTCCAGGACTTGTTACGTCTGAATTCCAGGATAATTTTCCTAATGATGGAACGAAGGAGGCACTGGGAGAACTTAATGCTTTAAAACCGGATGATGTTGCAGAAGGTGTTGTTTATGTGCTTGGCACAGCACCGCATGTTCACGTAAGTCACCGACTTTGGTCATTATTTAACAACTCTAATAATAATAAGAATAAAGAAACTCTAAATATGTACCACATATATTAAAAAATTAGGCGCAACTAGTTTCATTAAGCCAACAATACAATAGTTTTGTTTAAGGAGAAATCTTTTTAAAATTGTATTGTTTTATTAGTGACATTACCACTACCAAAAACACCTGTCATTGGTCTTTTGATTGTTTATTTTGCTGTTTTTTAGTTGCATTCTTGATAAATCTCGTATTAACAATTATTGTTTTAATACTAAGGAAACGCTTTTTGTATTTACTAAAATAAATAAATGAAGAATATCAAAGGTGATTTAAAAACCACTTGACGTATTAAATTTTTCATAATTTCTTGGCAAAAAAAGTTAATAAAAAATTCTCTTCTAACATTATCTAACATTTCTAGGATTATTGCGGCACACGAGGATTATCAAGAATGTAATTTTTGTAAAAACAAAACAAAATAAAATTAAAACTGTTTGCTTGGACGTAAATATAATGAAAATATCTTTCAAATGAGGCACTACATGACTTTACTTTCCATTAGAAAATTTAAAGATAGTAACGCCCTCTATTTTACGTCTCAAGTAAAGTGCATGTCATTATAACAAAAATATCATGTTTCTCTAATTTCACATCGTTTTTGTTTTATGTCTCTATCTTCTTGCATTTTGAAAACATACTACAAAATGCTTTCATTTGACATCGCAGGATTGCATTAGAAAAATTCTAACTTCCAATTTAACCTCTTCCCCCCTTCCCCAACTGACCATCAAGACAAAGTATTTTCGTTTTCAGTTAACGCCTAATCTGGGCCACCTATTACTTCAAATTTCAGTTGTAAAACGACTGTGTCAGACGGACAGACAGAGAGACATAAGTGTTTCTTATTGCCAAATTTGGGTACTAATTCCTTGTTTTTGTCTTACAAATTTTACCGTTTTTTAATGTTTCATCTTTTTCAAATTTAAATTATTGTTTTATCACGAGAGGAACGAGACGAGACGAGACGAGACGAGACGAGACGAGACGAGACAAGACGAGAGAAAGGCTCTCTCGGGCGAGAGAAGCGCCTTCTCGTCGAGACGAGAGAACAGTTTTCTCTCGCCCTACGAAACAAGACGAGAGAGACCACTCTCTCGTCTCGTCTTGTCTCGCGGCATCACTAGTTTTCAGGAAGTTTGTGATGATGGCTTTGTAAGCCGAAAGAGCTCGTCTAATTTTACTAAATATTCTTGCGCACTGATGTACTTTATTTTCTTCACCAAAAGCTATTACAATATAGATCTAATTTTTTTTGTTAATAAACCATTTGGTATAGATTTTCTTATATCGAATATCTTGACGTTATTTTTGACACAATATGGACAATCTTATTTCTTTATAACTAGTTTATGGCTGTGAAAAATATAGAATAACAAACGACTCCATTTTAGGTTCAAGAGCTCATGATACGACCATTGGGAACTCTAATTTGACCAGAGGAAAAAATTTTGCGATTATAATTATTAATTTATATTATTTACGTAAAATAGTTTTATATTTAACTTTTTGTTTATCTTTATTTATCTATCACTGTTTTGGAGCACTATATTAGCCTAATTTACAAAGCTTCTTTAACTGTACCCACATATTTCAGTGTGATAATGCCATTATTCAACTCCACTTTTTCTGAGAATTGACATTGACGTTTCTATCTATAAGGATTTACAAGTAGGTAACTATTTAAAAACGCTTTGTAAAGACGAATATAAAAGTTAAGATTGAAATTTATGATCATTATTGTCAAAAGAAAAATGTACATTTTTATGTTTCGTAGAAATAAAGTACTATTTATTATTTAACATCCTTATTCTTTGAATTGTTCAACTCACCCGATTATTCTGGTGGTTTTTGTAATTATAAAAAAAAAACTAAAAACTTTACTTTAAAACTGTATTTAATAAAGTATACATCTCGGTATACATAATTTCACATTTTCATATCCAATTAAAAGTTATACAAACTCTCCAAGAGGCTTCACTGTAAGTTCGGTTACCTGGAAAGAGAATCATTTTGAGTACCACAATTAATTCACTACAAAGGGCGGCTCCAAGACGAATTTTATGGGGGGCCATTGCCTTTAGATATTCTCTTTTTAGCATATGTTTTTGAATAAAAGGCTCATAAATCGTAAGAAATTTCTTACCCCCCTCCCCTTAGAGCCACCCTTGATTCACTATTTAAAAAGTTACCTAGAGGGTAGACATAGTTAAAATCACAGACATAACCGTTAAAACACTAATGAACAAAACAGTTATGATTCGACTAATATTTTGTGTATAAAAAGCAAAATGTTTTCAACTGATTTCAAAAGGTGCATGGACCATAAGTAAAGCATTTCCTCTTTTTGACTAGTCCCAAAAGTACGAATTTTTAATGGTAATATCACAAGAGGTGATAATTTTTCAAGAACACTTTGTTGTTTCCTTGGAAATTTCCATAATTTGTAACCAAACAGTTCTCAAAAAAAAAATTTACTTCGAGTGATATTTGGAAAGATTATTTAAAAGGAACATAGTACCTTATTCTCGAAAAACCAAAAAAGGTTAAAATAGGATAAATTGAACGTTTTAATTTACAGTGATTAGGTGTGTACATTCAGGCGAAAAAATTAAAATTAAATATTAAAAAAATCCTACTACTAGTCAAAGAGAAATTAAGAGCTGAAATTCGGCAGAGGCGTTCACCTTTTTATAAGTGAGGGCTGGTAGCATGGGTTTTAAAAACACTTTATTTTTAATACGATTTTAAACGATTTGCTTTCCTGTATTTTAATTATAATAAAATAAGACCATGGAAATTGTATTAAAAATAAAGTGTTCTCGAAACGCATGCTCCCAGCCCTACCTAATAAAAAGGTAAACGCCTCTGCTGACTTTCAGCTCTTAATTTCTATTTCACTAGTTGTAGGATTTTTTTTTTTTAATATTTAATTTTACGTCCGTTCAATGTTAAAATTTGGTAAGATTATTTTCGACTGAATGTATAAGTATATGCCCAATCACTATAAATTAGAAGGTTTAATTTATCCTTTTTTAAGCTTTTCTGTTTTTTTCGTGAATAATATACTATGTTCCTGTTAACACTATAAACAGTTCTTTTAAGTATAATAACGTTAATTTCGTTTGTTTAAAAATTTAATATCAATATTAAATGAATATTTGACAACCAAAACGATTTTTGTCCATTTTTCGTCTCATTTTGTCAAATTTCACATTGAGGTTTCGCATAAATATTAATCTGGTAATGAATTAGGAATTCCAAAAAAAAATGGTTACCAGCAAGCATTGATATGTCAAACCTGTGGGCCTGGTGGACTTGACAGGGTCAATGAAAAGACAGTTATTGATCATCAGTTATTGATAATCCATGGTTTTTAAAATAAACAAGCTCATGTCTCAGTATAAGTATTCTAGAAGTAATGACACTCCCTGACACGCAGCTTTTACTGCGCTGACGTTTACGGGATATAATGTATCACTTGTCATAAATCCGGTTAAAAACTCGCTACCATGCACAGGTAACCCATATTTCGTACACAAATACTTTTGTTTACATTTTATTGAAGAAGTTATTGTAATACATTCACAGCTTAAAAACGGAATATTTGTTATTATGTATTTAGATCAAAAATACCACAAATACACTTCAGTGTGTGTTTCATCCTTATTGTTACGTATTATTGCTCGTTTTATTTGAGGACATTGGAATAAATAGAGTACTAGAAGTAATCAAGCTAAAAAGGTGTGTTATAAAAAGAAAATACATTGCATTCGACTGATTTATGTTTAATGTTTCCGTGAAGTATTTACAACATGCTATAGTTACTTAAATGGTTGTAAATTGTAAGAGTATAAGTGATAAAAACTGATCTAGTGCTTTGAGCTTCCTTGTTTTCTTTGTTGATGTCCCAGAACCCAGCCCAACATTCCCAGCTAGCAGTAGTAGCAAAAACATTAACATTGTCTACATTCAACCCATTTACATGTACATGATTTATCAGCTACAAGGAGAACACAATAGTTCTGTACAAAATGTTAACAACGCTACAAGGAAAATTGCTCATGTATAAATTCAACAATTAAATCAAAATATATTATTTTTAAAGGACATATATCATCTATTATGTTAATTATAAATATTATAATATAAATATTTGTAACAAAATATTAGTTGTGTATTAATAAACATGTTGCCACTCCAAAAAATATACTGTTTATTGATTATCAGGTATCAAAAATATGTGTACCTATAGAAATTTGTTGAAATATGTTCTATTGCTCTTAATCTTTTTAATAGGTTCTTATTGTAAATAAAATCAAAACTTTTTATCCGTCCATTTAACACTTACAAACATATGCACATTTTAAGTTGTAAGGATCCGTAGCCTCTTAATTTTTTACATTAGACACAAAACCTGTGATGTCACATAAAATCGTGAATATGAGGTAAAGGATTTGGAAGTTATCTTTTAGTTTAATTTGTAGTTCAATAACCATTTAATACACATAACTAAAAAAAAAAGCTTTGGGTTTTTAAATCAGAAGTACAAAAATAATATTATATAATGCCTTAGTAAGACCCCATCTTGAGTATGTTTCACAAATATTTATTTATTTATTTATTTATCTATTTATTTATGTAATACACTGTTCAACAGGAAATCTAATTAAAGAACAGAATTGCAAGAAAAAAAATATTCACAATCTGAACAACAAAATTCAAAAGTAAGTAGGTTACAATAAGAACAAGAGTTACAAGCTAATATAAGAGAAAATTATTCTTAATTTTACTTACAGTACAATTAAAGATGTCTAAATGACTGCACATTTCGTTAGACATTCACACATTACATAAATGGGAGAGCTTTTTAAAACATTTGTTCTAGACACTGGAAGGTAAAAAGTGCATGCAGACCGTGCCGAAAATCGAGGAACATGAAAGTTAATCCTTTCTAATGTGGCGGAATCATCAATTTTATCAGTCAGTAACTTAAATAGAAACAGCACAGAGTTACAAGAACGGCGAGCTAATAAGCTATTAACTGCGTGTCTTTGCAAAAGAGAATTATGCGGCGTTCCGATCGCAGGGTAGACACCATCAATTTTGGAACTTAACAGTTTTAAAAATCGTCTTTGGACTTGTTCTAAGTTGTTAATATGAATTTAATAAAATGGATTCCAAACTATAAATGAATACTCAAGTTTTGAACTTACGAATGCATAGTAGAGGGTGGTGAGTGAATATGGATTGGTTAAGTCTCGACACCAGTATTCAACTCTATCAATATTAGCTTGAAGGCGTTCGCAGTCGGATCTGTGAGCAATGGTCAAACACAATTTTAGATTGTCGGCATATATCTTAAAATTAACATCAATTATATCAGTGATGTCGTTAATAAATAATAAAATATGGATGCCCTTGGAAGCCACACATATTGATCATATTGAAAAAGTACAATAAATATTTTTACGGTACCTTTATATCATAAAAATTACTCGTTCGTACCCTTATAAGATCTCATATAAAACTGTGCTCGATAGCTTTAAGATTAAATCTCTTTTAAAAAGAAGAAAGCAACGTGATATATTTTGTACTCTATTTTAAATAATGTTAAGTACCAAGATTTTGATTTGATTGACTATATAAATTTTAATGTGGCAAAGATTAATCTAAGAATCCCAAGTAAAAAAAAATATTTAGTTTAAATTCAAGTAGTATATCTCCTTTTAACAAGATGATGGCTGTTACCAATGAGTTTCTTAGCGAGGACCAAATCGGTATCTTTAATGTTATCCTAAGAAAGTTGAGGATTGTACTAAATTAAGTTCACTAGATATAAAGGTTTGTTTTGTTTTTGTTTTTAAATTTTTTGTTATTTAACTCTACATGTAACTACTATTAATTTTTTTATAGTATCCAATAAATTATACTTTATGGCTGCTTTCAAACAATTCTGTGTATAGTCACTTAGCTTAAAGTCATTTTTAAATTAAAAAAGTTGACGCGCATGATAAAAAGAAAAAATAATTCCAAAATGTCAATAGAGGACTTCTATACAAGGGAAGTGCAACCAACTTGACAAAATAAAATTGACACTAATGACATAAGAAATCGGGTCACATAAAGAGGCTGTTTTTTTGTTCAATTTTTGGTTTTTCTTATATACTTTTATTCCATTTACATACCATGTTGTACCCGTAACGTAAAAAAGACTTTTTATTTTAGGGTATTTTACATTTAAAGGTTGAAGACATCTATCAATATCAGCTGTCGATAATGTCAAAACATAAGCGTAGCATTGCAATTTATTTTTTTATTGTTAATAGTCTATTTGTGTTTCATCCGGTTTCCTTAAACATTTTTTTCATTTGGTTTTATATATTTATGTCAAATGCAAAAATGCTGCTGCTACAAATACAAGTTCCATACACTATACAACCATATACAATACTAGTTACGTTATGCCCATCTATGGTTACGCCTGTGTGCTACCAACAACATAATTGACAGCTGACACTGACAAATTTTTTCAACCTTTAGATGTAAAATACCCTAAACTTAAAAGTCTTTTTTACCTTACGGGTACAACATGGTATGTAAATGGCATAAAAGTATATAAGAAAAACAAAAAAGTAAACTTAAAAACAGCCTCTTTATGTGACCCGATTTCTTATGTCATTAGTGTCATTTTTATTTTGTTGAGTTGGTTGCACTTCCCTTGTATAGAAGTCCTCTATTTCAAGCGTTCTATAGGGACCGTGCGTGAAATATAGAGGCAGCACTACTGCCGAACTTAGCCCTCTCTAGTGTTTAATTTTAGAATTAAATGGGGTAAACATTGCAAGTAAGTAATGAAGGGTATTTTTTTAAATATTAAATATAGTTAAAAATAGATACCGGCCCGTACCAAACAATCGTGTACATGGTCAAAATGACGTAAAATGTGAAACATTATTAAAATCTGGACATGCATATACATTTTAAGCAAAAATATTTAAATGGCTAAGTGACAATAAATTGTAAAGTTGTACCTTAAACAAGTGTATCCAATGTTAAAATATAGGTATTTAGTAACACTGAATTTAAAAGTATTACAATAACATTTAAAAAATGTAAATTAATAAAAAAGATTGATAATAATAATTATAAATCTTTTTAGCTTTATGTTAATCGAAATGTCATTCATCCACTGGCGTTTATGAGATGTTCAATGATACATATATTATAGATTGCTCACCCAACTATAAAAAAAATTATGAAAAGCTGGTTGCAATGTGCCTTTCCTAGTGCTCACTAAATAGAGCCGTTCTAGCCCAAATGTGTTAAAATAAAATTTCAGCATTTTAATCTTTAGAAAAAGATAATAATTAAAGTTTTACTTCAAGACATGTCATTATGTATTTGGAAAGTTGAGTTTTCATGTAGTTAAATAATATTAAGAGATCTAAACAATTTTTATAACAGATGGATATAAATAATTTTAGACTACTATTTCAGAAACAATTCTACATAAAATACATAATTGCAATATGTAATACAATTTTGAAAAGGTAATGTAAACAATTTTGATATGAGGTAAGAACAACTTTGGTAAGAGTTGTAATTGGACACTTATCTATTATTCTGAATAATGTTTAATGGTAATGTCACTAAAAAAATTTACAAAAAATCACTGGATTTTTAATATTTTAAAGTTTGTTACAATCTCTTTTGACAGTAATTGCAATGTATTATTTATGATTTGTTTATTTTAATAATAAATGAGAAATAGTTAATAAATTGTAAAGAGGGCCGTGATATTTTTGTCAAATTGGATATTCTTATTTCATAACATTCTACATTAGTTTTAATCAACAGAATAAACCATTATCTGTAAAATTATATTTATATAAAATGGTCATTTAAATATGTAAAAATCTTAATGACAAGAAAACACTAAAGATTCTAATTTTTCTGTAAATGATTTCTTTACAACTAAGTGCTCAAAATTGATACAAGCTAGATAAAAAGAAAACTTTGCCCAGTGAAATACGCTTTTCGTCGTCTGATTTACATATGGATAAGCAATCTTTGTAATTATGTATATCATTGGGTGTGAGGCATAATTGTGCTCTGTGGAAATTTATAAAATTTCTTTACTATCGAATGAAATCCAGGTTTCTAAAGTGATGTGTTTGTACATCCACGGATGCAACAAGTTTTTTCGACATTGATATTACGAAAATAATTCGACTTCATTTTATTAATAATTATTAAACAATAAATGCCGTATAAAACATTAATAAATACCCCCCAAAAAGTTCACATTTTTGTCACCAGTTAGCGTTAAAGTCATGACGCACGGTCCCTATAACACGTTTTTCACTTGCATACTGTTAAGTTGAATTCATTTTTTAAGCATAACGTATTTTAATTATTATTGGAAAATATATTTTAGCTCCTTAATAACCACACTTTCTTAAATTTAAAGTTATTATAATTGAATTGATGATGGGTGGGTTTTTCCGGGTTTTTCTCAACTGTAAGTCAAATGGCACTATCAATCATCTATAAGTCGCCCCGAAGCTTTTGGGGTTAAAATTCATTCGTAAGGGGGTGAATTAGGGAGAGTATTACTATTTATTATTATTATTATTATTTAATGTTGTTGATCCCTTTTACTTCCTTTATATAAGCTCATATGTACTCCAAACTGTCAAAAATCAACTCGCTGTCGCACGTTTTCCATTATATGTTTTTCATTTCCAGTTTAATATGAAGTTTTGGCACAGAATACCTACTATTAAGGTATTCTGCGGTTGTGATCAACACTAGTTCGCTTCTTCTTATGTTCGCAAGAGGGCGTACCTGTCGCTTATTTCGGGTGTAAACAGAACTTACTGGATATTAATGTTTCTCTTCTTATTACATTTACAAAAATCAATTTGTTTCACTACGTTGAGCTTATCTGCAAATATTATTGCTTAATAACTGTATTTTTGTGGGTTTTGAAATAATTAATCACATCTACCACATATTTTAAATTTAAATAACTATTTCTACTTTTAGCAATGATATTTAAAAGACCGTTGAAAGTTCTTCGACAATGATAAATTATCGCATAACCGTACACGACAAAAAAAATTCGGAAAAGTCTATTCCCAAAAATCAGAAAGAAAAAATAAAGACATATTATGTACCTGAACATTAGGCGGGGTTCCTAACACATACAAAACAGCATTAGCAACATCTTCGGCTTGAAGTGCAGGCACAATTTTCAACAATTTGTTTACTTCTTCGTCCTCGGTGAATCCATTTGCTTCATAAATTTCGGTCATTACACATCCTGGACTGACGCTCTAAAAAAATACGACGTTAAGTGACCCTTTAACCTCCAAATACCTAATTTATATTTCCAAAAACATAAAATATTTACCGAAACTTTAATCTTGCTTCCAAGTGTGATGAGTTCCTTTCTCAAAGTTTCTGTTAAACCAGTTACGGCAAACTTTGAAGCTGGATATACGTTATTGTATGGAATCGATGGAACTTGGTGACCAGCGGTACTGTTGATGTTTATAATGTGACCATCTATGTTATTTTCTTGCATACTTTTAATAGCTTCTCGCGTTGCAATAGCTAGACCAAGGACATTGGTGTCCAAGACCAAGGACCAATCTTCGATGTTGCCTGTACAAAATGTCAATATAATTTTTAACAAATTACAATGCATCCATATGAAATGTAGAGTTTCTCCAAGCGTTTATGTTAGTTTTGGAAATAACAATCAATGAGGATAGTTGTCAAATTTATAATTGTTAAATATGGAGCAATAATAATTTTTGTGGAAGAAGAGAAGGTTTAAAAAAAGATCCGAAAGTTATTTGACATGTCAATTAAATAATGAGTTTGATGGGAAACCTTTGGAAAATAGAAGGCAGTTATTATAAGGCTATTATAAATAAAAATCTAATGTGTCCAACACATGACTTTCCTATCTAGTTATTATAAGCTTTTTCCGGTTATTTTGTACAACCTATTGCAGCACCTCTATAAATGTTTAGAGGATATAATAAATATATACATTTTCTACATACATCTAACATTTTTCCATAGATATTCATTGAAAACGAACATAATGAAAAATTTAAATTTAGCACTTTTCCTCCAATTTTTCCATTACGGTCCATTTTAGAAAAATCATATAAAAACAAAAATTATAGAATTGATATCGCAAACAACTTTTAGTTTAACAATTTTCTTAAAAATCAGAATTTTGCACATTTTCTCAAATATCTCGAATACGGTCCATTTTAGAGAAATTATGTATGGCATAAAAATTATAGAAAATTATATTACAAACAACTTCTATTTGAATAATTTGTATAAAAAATTATTTTTTTTACATTTTGTCAAATTTCTCGAATACGGACCATTTTAGGAAAATTTTGTATAGAACAAAAAATATTGATAATAATATTGTAAGTTTCTTCTCCAAACGTAAATAACAGATATATTCCATAAGATATAAAAATGACCACCTATAAAATACCCCCCAGATGTTCCGACTCTGACCAAAATCTAATCCGTTCATTGGACGCCGGAATAAAGCTTAAGTTTAAAATTTGGTGTTTTTCTTTGTATCGGTTCATGAGTTATGGTGGATACAGACACACACAGACACACAGACACATAGACACATAGACACATAGACACATAGACACATAGACACATAGACACATAGACACATAGACACATAGACACATAGACACATAGACACATAGACACATAGACACATAGACACATAGACACATAGACACATAGACACATAGACACATAGACACATAGACACATAGACACATAGACACATAGACACATAGACACATAGACACATACATACACACACACACATACAACACATACACACACACACACACACACACACACACACACACACACACACACACACACACACACACACACACACACACACACACACACACACACACACACACACACACACACACACACACACACACACACACACACATACGCACACCCGCACACCCGCACACCCGCACACACGCGCACACGCCCACACGCACACACGCACACACACACACACAGAGAGAGACATCATCGCGAAAATAGTCAAAACGGATTCAGGGGACCTCAAAACGTAAAAAACCGTCGAAAACTGGAGGTCGAAAAAAATCATGATTCCTATACTTTCCTCATATCTGTATACAGATAGGAAAGTAAAAAGTGCTAGATTATGAAAGATACTGAAAATTAAAGATGTTTCAATTAAGAAGCAATTTATAATTATAAAATTCAAATAAAAAAATGAGTTTTATAAATAGATATGTATTTTCATATCAAAATATATACTCAGCCAAAAAGTTGAGTTTAATGAATAATAACCTGTCAAAATCGTAAATTGACCTATCTTATTAAAAGGTTTCTTGTTTCTATATATTCCTGGTTGACCATTATTGTTAATATAAAGTTTATATTATTTCTATATACATAAGTAGAAAATATTTAATACCGTTTATAAGATTTGTTTTTCTTCCAAGGCCAGCGTTGTTTATTAGAATACTAATTGGACCCACATTCTTTCCAATCCAATCAAATGCCTCTAATATGTCTTCCTTTTTCATTAAATCGGCTCTGACTGCATAAAGTTTTCCTTTGTCATCTTTTAATTTTGCAGCTAATTCTTCTACTCTGTCTTTTCTTCGAGCAATCCCCACCACCTATAAAAATATTAAACTAATTATAATAATTAATGTACTGAAATAATTATACAAATCCTATAGATATAATAACTAATATAAACTAGCACCATAATGTACTTATTTGAATGTCATCTCTAGAAACTGAATCACTCTGTATATGTCTTCACCCTGTATATTATTATATTAAATCTGCTATAAAGCTCACATTGTAAGAAATTAAATCTACAAAGAAAAAATACACGCCTTATAACTCGAGAAGAATGTTTTGATGATATTAAATATAAGGCCGATATATTAATGCGTTCACAAATTACTGCATTGTCGTTTCAATTTAAATATGAAAAGGTCAATTATTTTGATCTTTTGTACGTTTTAAATGTTACTAATTTAGCCGCATAATCAAAGAGATAATAGGACGGTAAAATTTCAATGCAACAATGATGGTGCTTTTAAAATTTTGGACAATTTCTTAATTTGAAAAATAGTTTCCTGCAACAATATTTTTTATTATTTAATATTATAATATGTAGACAGTTGGTGGCATATCAAAAACTTTTTTATTGTTAAAAAAAGTTATTGTTCATAAAAAGTAAAGCATGGTGTCTAAAAACTAAAATACAACCATCGGATATCAAATTTTATCAGTCGTATACGAGGTTTGTCAAAAATAAATATACTTTACTCTTCGGCAAAAATCATATTTTTTGACAAACCTCGTAACGACTTAAAAAATTGATATCTGATATTTGCATTTTAATTTTGGACAATGCAGAACTTTTTATCAGGAATAACTTTTTTCACAAAACCAATAATAAAAAGTTTTCCATATGGTTCCGACTTAGTTTAGAGGTTAATGAAAGCAGCAGATTTGAAAGCGAAATGTGTCGTTGAAAGTGTCAACCGGGAGCAAAAATATAATAAGATTAAAGATGATTTTAAAATTAAAAAAATAAAAGGCCAGTATGTTTACACAAGTAAAGCAATTACATTTTTATTATTAGAGACTATTGAGACAAAACAAAGAACTGTCATGGGAATGCCTAAGCCATCCCTGTAGAGCGCGACCTTGAAGCCTGTCACCCGACGGATGATCGAAACACCGCTGACGTATAGAAACAAACGCACCGCTTCTCGAGTCTACCAGAAATAGCAAAACATGGCCGTTGAGTCAGAGATGAAATTAATTAGTACGTCATAAATAAATTGTAAATAAACGTCACAGAACTAAAGGCCATGAAAATTGTTTTTACTAAAAACCAAATGGACTTGATATTAAAAAAAACGAAAATAAAACGTGTTGACTGAATATTTGAAGAATTTGCATCTGCTTTTACCTTGCGATATTAGAGAAAAAAAGGCATATCTGCAAGTAAAACAGCACTTATATTTTCTACTTCCTGGTTTGTCTTCTCTAAGACGATGGGCTAATAAATTAAATTTTACAAATGGAATCTTAGTGTATTCAAATTTATGCAGTTGGACGGAGAATCAATAGTAAGCAATCTGTATTATGTGTACTATTTATGTACTATTTCGTACTAATTATGTAGGATTGTCAACAATCCAGCGATGCTGACCAGGAGGAAAAAAAATGTTTGTTGAGAAATACGTGTAAATGACTATTTTTTGCTTTTCGGTCATCAACCTAATTTTAATATCCGAGACCTACGTGAAACATTTTATTTTAGCTCATCAACCTAATTTCAATTTGTGTACTTTTTATGTACTACGTGTACTATTTGGGACACACTGTATACCAGGCCGGGTAAAACAATTTCCCAGTGATTTACCTCCATACTACAATAAAATAGTTTCAATGATCGGCGCAGGTAAAATGATGTAATTAATACTCTGATGGTATTATGAAGATAGTACATATAAATTGTCAATTATATTTAAGTTTTGTTTGTATATTTATTTTTGTATTAAAATATTTTTACTTGTCCTGTACACAAAGGATCAATAAAAAATTATTGTTTTCAATTTGTGTGTATATATTATGTAGGTATTTCATTGAAAATTTAATAAAGATATGATTGATTGTTTTTAAATGTGTGTACTATTAGAAATGCTCTGAAAAATATTGTGCCATCTCCGCTCACAATTGCTTGTATTGTAACGTGCTCGTATTGCTATTCTTATTATATACGAAATATAAGTCAAAGCAGTTTATAATCGGGTTCATTTTAAAATTCGCGCATTCAATCCTATAGAGAGTCAAGTATTCTTCAGTTTATCCTTGTGCCTCAGTCTCGATAAGGTGGGACCCACCAATTTAGCGTCTCTTGAATTAATCTTGGTAAAGTGACATTTTTTCATGTTTTTCTATTGGTTTCTTAAATGTTTTTTAGAAAAATATTAACGAATATTTACTTTGTAAATAATTTGAGGAAATATAACCTTACTTATTTGAATTTTACTAATCACAGTAACGATTCAAAGTGTGATTGAAAAATCACGCGATCGTCCAACTTTTCTTTTTTTTTAACGTTGATGCGTTACCGTCTTTAAAAATTAATACGTAGTAAGTAACTGTTTAAAAATGCATTATGAATACTGATTTAAGTCATTGACGTTAAATTTTAAAATTATAGCTATTCTTTGACTCATTATTAATGAAACATCCTATATATTGAGTTGGAATATTTTTTTTTATTTTTAACTTCCTATTAATAGAAAAAGTTGCTGTAGTTTCCTACCAAATGAATTTACTAATAATTACAATAAGTGTTCAAAACGTTTCTAAATTAAGGTACTTACATATAAGGATTAAGGACCTCCAAGAACGAAACTATCTAGGTAAAATTGGTCACTTGGCATAAAAACCTTTAAAAATGCCAGATATATAAAAGGCTCTATCTTCCCAGGGAAAAATTTTATACATAGATACACCGTTTAATTTTGGTTGAAAAATTATAGGCAGAACTGGACTTTTTAGATTCATCTAAAATTTGGTTTAAATCTTCTTTTATGGTCACCTAACGATTCGTGAATTACAATCCCGTAAAGTTAAAAAAAAAATGTTATTGTATTGTATTGTTAAGTCACCTTAAATTGAATTATTTTGATCTGCAAAAAGTGTACAGGTAAATATCAGTTATTGATCCGAAAACAAACGTATTTAAATTCCTTTGAAAACTATTTTTGAACCCCCAAGGCGAAAACAAATTTAATGAAAAATTTTTAAAACATTCTTTGTACACAATTTTGTCAATTTTTCAATAAATGTTTTTGCTTTGGGAAAGTATTATTTCAAAGAAGTCATTTTGAAAAATTAATTTATTTGGCGACGTCCAAAGAAATTTAATTTCACAAAAATTAAAAATAAGCATGATAAGGAATTCTAAAAAAATGTTACCTGTAGGCCCTCCTTAACCAGTTTTTCAGCAATGGAAGCCCCAATACCGGCACTAGCACCTGTAACGACAGCTACCTGTCCTTGCCAACGGTTCATCTTGAATTGCAACTCTTGCAGACATCAGAGATGCGATCTAGAAAATGCTAACTAAAATGCTGTTGGTTTTAATGAATCAAATCCGCTAGGTCAGAATAGTACGATGGCCAGGTCAGGTCCGGTTCAGGGAGTGATGAAAATATGATAGGAATTTTTAATAACATTACCCAGCAGATCCAACTGATAAAAATATAACTCTAGCTTCCTAAAAATATTTTTTTATTTTGACGATTTGTCATATTTAATCATTGGTTTTTTAGGAGCAATGTCAGCTAACTAAACAACTTTGTGAACAAAGCTTTTGGAATTAATGTAAGCCTCTTTTTAATAGTCCCCAATGCAAAGATAAAAATAGATATATTAAATAAAAATCCGTTTCTTCTCATACTTCTCATTACTACATTTTTCGAAAAGTTTCAAAATAAAGGGTTTAGTTGATGAATGGGTTAAATTAGAAATTGTTGGTTTCGAAAAATTTGCATTAACTAATATTTTTTAAACATGCTCTTTGAAAATTCCTAACTATTTTTTTCAAAGTGAAAACACATTAATTAAAAAATTTTCGTTTTACCTTAGCTATGTATAACTAGATATTTATTGTTAATTTATGTTTATAACATATTTACCTACATACAAACTTTTTAAAGTAATTTTTATTTGGTTATTGGTGAACACTTTGAAAACCTTACTACTTATTTTTGGAAATAAAATTCATTTGTGCAAATAAAACGGCATCATGAACTGTAGGAAATATTAGAAATTTCCTTTCTTTTTTCTCAATTCTATTACATCTTATTATTACTTCGAATACAGAACCTAAAACAATAAAAAGTTAATTATTAAAGTTATAATAATTTGATTTCATTTAACAACTTAATACCACAACTCTACGTCGTAACATTGATGGTTAAAGCACAGTTTATAACTAAAGAATCAGTTCGCCACTCTGCCTCGGCAATTTTGATCTCAATGTTGCAGTTTATACATTGCGCAACTCGTATTTGCATCCCTGGCGCATACAGAATCAAATCATAATAGCCCAAGAGACCACTGCAAATGTTTACCGACATCTGATAAGGAAATGAAATATACCCCAAAAGTATGTAAAAACATTGTAATTTACCAAGTGGCAACTGTGCCAATTCCAATCCTAAGCAAAGTGGTTGAAAAAAAATATTTTATTACTAAAAAATCACATAAGGCTTGACAGCGCTATTTTGTTTGTCCTTAAAGTTTTCCAGAAAATAATATATTCAAATATATCTTGATGTGCAGGGTGTTCGATAAGTACGATAAGTACTTCAGGGGCGTATTCTGGAGCTAAAATAAAGGTATTTTTGTGATATACACTATGTCTCAAAAATGCTTCGTTACGGAAATACAGGGTGTGAAAATTTCATAAAAATAATACAATTTTTTAAATGTTTCCAAAACCACTCCAAAACGTGTTACGCTGCTGTTCTTTTTCAATATTTAGTTTTTTGATTATTCGATTTGGAAGAAAAAAGGTTCCTTGACCTTTTTCATGAATAATTACAGAGCCATTTTTATTTTTTTTTTATTATTTAACTTTAATAACAATCATAAATAATAACTTATAACAAAGAATCAAAGCAAATGTTGAAAATAGCCACCTTCTGATAATACTCACGATTCCAATCGTCTCCTCATTGATTGTCTTACTCTTTCAAAAACTCCTGGAGTATTTCTTATGGTATTACAACCTTGAATTATTCGATTTCTTAAATCATTTTCATTTAATAAAGGTGTCTTATACACGAGTGATTTAACGTGACTCCATAAATAAAAGTCCAAGGGATTAAGATCGAGACTGCGAAGTGGCCAAGCTTGAGGACCTCCGCGTCCAATCCGGCGATTGGGAAAAGTGTTGTCGAGGTATTAGCGAGCAAGAAGGCTAAAATGGGCTGGTGCACCATCGTGCATAAACCATTAATCTCCTCTTACTTGCAGAGGCATTTTTTGTAACAGACCATTTAGTTCTTCGTGTAAAAACTGAGTATACGAATCACCATTCAGTAGAGGGGGTAAAAAGTATGGTCCAATAAGATGGTCATGAATAATCCCTATCCATACATTTAGTGAAAATGTTACTTGAAAGCGACCTTCTCTTAATGCATAAGGATTCTCCTCAGCCCATAAATGTTCATTATGAAAATTAATAATTGCTTCTCGCGAAAAAGTTGCCTCATCAGTAAATAAAATTAGGGTCAAAAAATTGTAGATATAAGCAACTTTATGGAGTAACCACCTACTAAAATTTAGCCTTGGCATCAGAGCTTGTATGTGGTATGGGTAAAGCAGAGAAACTTTTAAAACGCTCCAAACAGTATTTGCATTTACTTGAAGCTGTTGTACAATCTTCCTGGTACTAGTTGAAGGATTTTCTCCTGTAGTATAGCTTCTTTTAGCTCAGGCGTTGTTACTGTTCGTGGTCTACCAGGAACTACCCGATTATGTCAAAACTACCGGTTTCACTCAATCTGACATGTATGTAAATGTTTTAGCACATGGCGTTACCCTATTCGGATAACGTTGCTAATAAATTCTTCCAGCTTCCGCTGAATTCCCAATTGCTAAGCCATAAATGAAGTGCAGTTGAACCATTTCAGCGTTAGTAAAGTTGTTCATTTTAATGTCTGACATACAAATAAATAAACAATTGGCGACTAGTAAAATGTCAAACAAGTACCTGGGAAAAATTGAAGATAACTTTTTTGTTGTACATTGTTCAAAGAGATTAAAAATAATAAAAATGAAAAAATTTATTGTCTTTGTTGCTTTTTCTTCTAAATCGAACATTAAAAACAGAACAGTGGCATAACACGTTTTTCCTTCCATATTTTTTCAGCGATTAGTTTGATTAAAATATCTTAAGTGATTTTGGAAATATTTAAAAAATTGTATTTTTTTTATGAAACTTTCACACCCTGTATTTCCGTAACGAAGCATTTTTGAGACATGGTATATATGACAAAAATACCTTTATTTTAGCTCCAGAATACGCTCCTGAAGTTATGTACCGTACTTATCGAACACTCTGTATATCGTTAAAGGCAAACACTTTCTTTCTCTTCACATCGCACAAAAACATATATTCACGATTAATAAGTAAAAATCATTAAAATTATGAATCAATTTTTGCTGATTTAAAAATTTATTTGTATGCCTATTGTTGTGATTCATTTTTACAGGTTGCCATACGACAAAAAAACTACTATGATTATGGTTTAAAAGAGTTATCTAACAAGAGTTTTTAAAATTATTATTGACTATCTCTGCAAATGGGTTATATAATGCGATACTTCTTCCTTCGCACATACACATGGTTTAAAAGGTAGGTAAAAATATTAATAATTCAGGTTTAAAAGCTAGGTTCACAATGAATTATGATTGTAATTTTTAGGGAATACACAATTTTCGATGTAAGGTCTTATGTGATTTTTTGAATATAAAATAATTTTTCTTAACCAATTTGCTCAGGATAGGGATTGGCACAGGTGCAATTTGGTAAAGTACAATGTTGTTACATGTCTTTGTAGCTTATTTCATTTCGTTATCAGATGACGGTAGAAATTTGTAGTGGGCTGTCTTACTATAACCAATACAATAATGACAACCGCCTATATTCAAACAGCAGTCTTCTGCGCAACCTAAATTTGTATCCCTGAAGTGGATTTTATTTTGGAACATCCAATTGGTCCGAGTGAGCTAACTAATTCTTTAGCTATAAACTGTGGTTAAAGTAAATGACAATAGGCGAGTACTGAATAGTGTCAGTGATGCCAAGTGTAATACGTTTTTCTGTAGATACGCATTTAAAACGTTACTTTTTTTCAAACAGTTATAATTTTGACATTTATTTATTTATCAACATATTAGACATTCCAACGACCTGTCAATAGCTACCTGTGGGAAGGGTTTGTATATCTAAGGGGATTGCGAAATAGCCTTCCATCTTGGATACTATTTTTATTCGAAATACTAGTCGCCAAGCCTACCAATTTATGAAAAATGTGTTAACGGTTTTTTAAAAAATAATATTTTCATTATGTTAGACATAAAATATTTAAATTTATTCCATTATTCATAATTTGATGTGGTGTAAATCGAATACATCGTATGTCGTAACCCCTTAGATATACAAACCATTTTCACCGACAGTTATTTTGTTTGGAATACCTAATTTAAAAGATTAGTAGAATATATTTATATAAAACAACTTTTGGAAAAGAATCGGTTTAAATGATGGATATTACCTATCTGTTATTCTTGTCAGACAAATGTTTTAAGTTGGCATTACTGACCCTATTCAGTACTCCTCTATTGAAGTCATTTTACCTGGACATCCAGCAATCTCCATTTCAATATTTATCCGTTCATAATCATCCCTTAAAGTTCTTAAGAAATCCACTCCAGCAGTATCAATAAAGGTAACATGCGAAAAATCTAGTATAACAACTTTTATAATAATAACCTCATCATCGGGCAACCCTTTTTTATGTAATTGTATTCTTCTATTAAATACAACTCCTGGATCCAGTCCAGTCTCTCTGATAAGTGCTTTTTTATAACTCTTGCTAATGGCAAAATTCAGCCCTCCAGTAGAGTGAAAGATTTTAATACCGTCAATTTCTTGGGCCTTAAAATAAAATTGAAAATTATAACTAATAACTAACCAGTGAATATGGTTATGATTATAACCGATCAAAAATATATTTATAGGCAATATAAACGCGTCTTCAATAATACCAGGAGTGTGTTTAGAAACCTCGTCCGGCGCGTCTGACTCCATAAATTTGAATAGGGTTCAGGCGCGCCGTGCGTGGTTTCTAAACACACTCCTGTATCGCAATTAGGGATTCCCACATACTTTGATTATTATACGAGGCAAGAGAGAGGTTCGACACGCCCAACATAGGGCGCGGCCATTTTGAACCCTGTGACACAGTTTACAGCTAAAGAATCAGATCGCTCACTCTGCGTCGGCACTTTTGATCTCAATGTTTCAGTTTATACACTGTGCAACTCGGATAATACAATATATGACAACCGCCTATAATAAAACAGCAGTCTTCTGCATATCCTGAATTTGTATCCCTGGAATGGATGTTATTTTGGAACTTTCAACTGGTCCGAGTGAGCTAACTGATTCTTTAGCAATAAACTGTGACTTCAAAAATAATATTCACTGACACTGACAGCAGCAAGCAAAATATCAGGTGCGTTTTAATCATCCACTTCTGCTTCCGGAATTGTCGGTTTAGTCGTTTTAACCTGTCAGATTAAAACAAGAAAACCGACAATTCCGAAGCAGAAGCGGATGATTAAAACGCACCTATTAAAAATATTGCGCCAAGATGTAGGCAACACGTAATAAGGGTTCAAAATGGCGGAGTTTTCTATCTCCTTTTAAAAGGCACTCAGAAAGCTGCGCAGTGCGACCATTCTCCGTATAGTAAAAGAAAATCAAAGTATGTGGGGATTCCAAACAAAATGGCTGTCCGTTTGAAATGACAGGCCACTGACAGACACATGACAGGTAATATGGCAACACTGTGAGTCTGGTAGTTTGATAGGGTCAATGATATAGACCGTTATATAGATTGATCATCCATAGTTTTCAAAATAAACATATGCTTATGCCTTGAAGTAAAAATGTAGGCAATTATTTTTTTTTTTAATATTCAAAAGCTGAAAATCGGTTTTAAAACATATTTTTGCTAAACCAACTCAAATTATTAAATACTTGACAGGCAATATGGCCGTTCATAAACGACCCGCTTTGAGCAATCTATATAACAATATATGTCATTGATCATGTTAATAACAACATAGCCAACAGGGTTGCCATATCTAAACTGTCAGATCCCACTGGTAGCCATTTGGACAGGTCATTAGAATGCCTAATAATTACTTCAGTAGTACCAAAAAAATGTCACTGACGTTCTGAAATATTTGACAGAACTTGTCATAGAATCACTAAGAACGGTAATTTTGACGTGGGATGCGGGTATTGTTGAAGACACTGTATTAAAAAGATAACAAAATATACCAACCGCTTTATATTTTTCCACGTCCAAATACAGATCCGTATTCGGAACAATTCCAAGGAGACAGGTATGCAGTTGGTTTCCTTCTATGCAAATTACCAATAAGGAAACGACAATTCCAGCTATTAAACCGTAACTTATTTGAACGATAAACGTTACTAAAAACGTAATGATCCATACAGTACCATCCCATGAACTCAATTGCCAATATTTACATATAAATCGCACTTTCAATAGAAGTTCCGTCAATGCTACTACAATTATGCTTGCTAAAATACACTAAAAAACATTTATTTATTACAATTTCATCTCATATTTCCATCATATAGTCGTTACTTAATATTTTCGTTAGAAAAAATGTATTTTACAAGGACGAACAACTACTAGACTAATCAATTCACTCAGAATCAAGCAATAAGTAGTGATAACCGCAGTGTTAGAATGTGAAGATACAAACAATCATAGAATAGTGGGCATAATATTTTGGAAAAAAACATTGAATGTACTTTTTGAAAAACATACTTTAGTTCGTTGTAACACTTACTTACCCTGGGAAGTGTTTCAAAAAGTGGAGCAATCCACAAAATGACCATTATCAAAATGCCGCTCGATACAACAGCAGACAACTGCGTTCGACCGCCTGCATTGTATCTAAGTACGGACCTGGATAAAGAAGCTGAAATTGGCATGCACAAGGAGAATGAACCAAACGCGTTACTCAAACCCTGTTAAACAAATATTTTTGTTATCTTACTGATAATTGTATATTTCAAAAGATTTTTAATTCTAAGTTTAAAAAAATATTTAAAATTTACGAAATCTTTATATTAAGGGTGACTTTTTGCAAGTGTTGATTCCATGATAATCTGTGGTCAAAGATGACATTTTGCCTCTTAGGGAAATGGAATCTTCACCCTTTTCAGTACTGGTGACTTTAGTCTTGTCAGTACCTTTCGTTTTGTGAAGTTGACTATTGTGGTTATGTGAGGGTTCACCTCGTGGTTTACTGTTAGTTCCTTCTCTCTGCACCACTCAACGATGTTTAGAGCGATTTGTGTGTGCTGTGATATTGTACCTGCGAACTTGCCTCTTACGACAATCGCCAGGTCATTGGCATACCCTAGGCATGGGCGAAGTTAAGGGGGGGCTTGGGGGGGCTAAGCCCCCCCAAAAACCAAATTAGCCCCCCCAAAAATAATTAGAACATTTATCGCACATCCACCCAAACATTTCAGAACAGAAATTAAAAAATAAAAAGAATCGTGCCATTTGATTGATTCTGCAATTTTACATTTAGTTCAGGAGGCAGTGAATTTTTTTCGTATTCATTTTTCCAGTCGGTGTATATGAAAAATAAACTGTTCTCTTAGTGACAAAAAATAAAATTTTTGAGTCTGACACTTATTTTTCCAGTCATAACTATTTTACATTTACTAAACTAGAACATAAAGCTTATAAAAATAGCAGTTTGGATTATCTCAGATAGTGGAAAGTGAGTGTGGCAGAAAATTGAGCATATAAATTGATACAATCATGAACTGTTTATAATAATAAGTATGGCTGATTTACGAAATTGTCTAATGAGTCTGGTGATATCTTCTAAATGGAAAACATATAATATTTTTGCTTTTATTTTCCCGGGTTTGAAAATTTGTCACGTGATAGATTAAATTATAATTTTACACCTCCATTTTATAGCCAATCAACTGCTGTTATTTTAAAACACTTCCATGACAACCAGAAAAATTTCCGGAAATTTTTCTTTTGGTGGGTACCCTGAACGAAATTATACTGAAAATTTTTTTGACAGTTGAGCAGCTCTTTCATGCATATAAAAAATTTGCCATTTCAGTGGTAATATTTTATTTAATACCAATTATAACTAGGTAGAAATACACTACATTTATTTTATGTAAAATAATAATTAGGTTTTTCGCGTCAACTAAACGACTTCAAATATGAAAAATGGTCATGGTATGGCCACAGCATATTCTGTGGTATGGCTACCTTTAAAAATTTGATTTTAGTCGTTTTAATGCATGTCTGTCAAGTTTTAAAATTTGGATATTTTGGTGTAAAACTTTCTTACCCAATACCAAAAGTGCCTAAATTATTATCAGTAAATTTTTGCACACTCACGCATATTTTAAGAACATTATCCATCTACTTAGGATAAATTTCAAAATATTTTTAAGTGAAAATACACGTCTGGCTGACAATTACAATTACAGAGGCCTGCCAGACTCACAAGTAGTGTCCGACCGAAGGTTCGGTTACGGTTTCGGTCAACTTTAGCTTTAAATAATAGTTTCGACTACAGTTTCAGTTTCGGCGGAAAACTGGCCGAAACTGCAGCCGACAGCGAAACTACTTTTAAAAGTTTTCGTATCACAATTGGTTGTGTCCGGCGCAATGGCGACTGTGCCGAGTGCCATTCCTACACAGTGCACGACCACGTACACACAAACTTCTCTGCTTTGTTTCAAGTGAACATGTCAATAAATTTATTAATGGCTTCTTTTGATCACATAAATAAACAGGTAATAAGTAAATGTAGCTAAAATTTATAATACGAGTTAATTAGTCTAAAACAAGGATTACAATGAGATATTGCAAATTTCAATAAGAGATTGCCTTAGACGAGTCTGGCAAGGCTTTCGGGGTGTTCCACATTAGCCAGATTGTATTTTAAGCTGTTATCATAATATACATTTTTCTAGTAGTGAGAACACTTGTAACAGGGATCCTTACTGGACATTGCCAACTAAAATTACTCCTTAGTAAACTGAGAGTAGTAGAAGATAGTACAGATTTTGTGAGGAGGAGGAAAAAATCTTCATTCACATTCTAACTAAATGTGTAGCACTTCAGAATCCAAGGGCACTATACCTATGAGCATATCAAATAGAAGAGGGAGATTTACCTAACTTGAAGCCACTCCAAATCCTACACTTCCTTGAGAAGATATAATTGGAAGGATCTTCATTCTCGATTCAAGCTAAGTGATACGCCCTCTGGAGGAAATTTGTAGAAGGTCCCTATAAGTAGGATATCATTCATTGTTGCCAGAAGTAGCAAAATTTCGCTACGTCGTCGGATTTTAGCTCTTGAAGAAGTGGATAAGACCTTTTATTTAAGAATCAAAATTTGTGTATAGTAATATGTAATCATACTCTATATTTATTTAAGGACTTTTTTATAAAACCGATTTATTATATTAATTTTTTTTTTTAATTTCAGTTCATTTATTAATTTTGTTTTAAAATCAGTTCATCATTTGGCAACGAGTTCATTGTTTACATTTTAATTTGTATCAATTACAATTCGAGTTTTTCTTACTTTTTAGCTTTAAATTTGTTTATTTCTTATAGTATGTGATAGTGTTTATGTTAAAAATGAAATCTGCGAAAAAGTCCCCAGCAAATTGCAATCTATATGGTGTTAATGTCAAAATCAAAACTGAAGTATTCATTATTTTTCAAGTGCAAGTCGTAAAATTTAGTTTTTTATCATAAATGGATATCTACAAATTCACAATATTGAAATTTTGCAAACCTTTGTTTAGAATCGATATATGATATGTTATCCATTTTCATAGATTCGCCAGAATTTTTTTACTTAACTTCAGTAGGTATACCTCTAGAACTATTATATATTATATGACTAGGGCTAGGGCTTTAGCCCCCCCAGATCTGATGACATAACTTCGCCCATGACCCTAGGTAGTAGAGCCCTGCAGATATTAGCCTTTTTATAAGTTTATTCACTAGGACTGACCTAAGGAGAGGTGATATTACCCTCCCTGCTTTAGCCGTCAGTGTCGCTTGGCCTAGATATTATGTTATTACCTTTTCTTCTAGGTTGGCTTATCCATTAACCCAGGACTACCGTTGGTACTCCTCTTTTCGTCGCTGGTGCGTTAATTATAGCTCTTGTATGGGCATTATTAAAAGCTCCCTCAATATCTACGAATTTGCTACTCCCATTTATTTATCCTCCAGTGTTTTTGACAATAGCCAATTAGGGCCAAATCGGTTGACAGTCCTGGCTGATATGCATATTGTCGGTCGCTGAGAGCATTTCCTTTCAGTATTTCGTCTCGTATACGAGTATATCTATACATTATTCTTTCTAGCGTTTTCACCGTGAATAATGATGGACTGATTGGACAGCACAATTTTGGCGTCATATCATTAACCTTTTCTATTTTAGAAAGGTATATGACTATCACCTTTTGCCACGCCTCTAGTATACCTATGTTGCCAGGCAATACATGCTTTAAATATGTAACACATATGAGAAATAATTAAAGTTTCCTGTCCCATTTGTAGTAGAATGGAATCTATTCCATCTAATCCTGGGGATTTGTATGGCGGAAATTTGTTTGTAGTCCATCTAATTTTGTTCGGCCTCGATATTTCTGTAGCTAGCCTTTATATTTTTAGATTTGCATTTTAATTTATAAAAACTAAAAAAAAAATAAATAAGGAATATTTATTGGGGGTAGTTTATCAAAAAGTCACATCGGATACTACAAAAAATTTAAACATTAATAATTATTTCTTCGGTCTCCAGTAATATATGAACGGCAAAATTTTTATAATAGTATTTTGTAAATGATAAAGTTACCTACTATAGCTCATTATTCTTTATTGAACCGAATATTCGACAATAGCCCTTGCCCTTAGATCTATCTTGAATATTTTACATTCTTACCAAAGCTAAAAGTTCTTGATTGAAGCCCACCTCATACATGCATTTTTGTGCGAAAATCAAACCCAGCGATATTGTTACAGCATAGCATACAATAGTAATTGTAAAAGAATCCATTAAAATAGCTGGAACAAGTTGAAATTTTGGAATAGACAGTTTTGGAAACCTGCAAATTTAATTTTCCATTCAAAAAATATTCACCTAAATTGGGTAACAAAAATGATAATGAAACGAATAAAGTAGTCATTATTGAATTTTGTACGCTAAGGACTTACCCTGTAGGAATAAATCCAATTATGGTAATATTATAGTTCTTTTCAAAGTCCATGGTTTTACTGAATGTCGTGACAATTCCGACAACAACTAATTCTGCAGGAAATGGTATTGAAGTTCGTTTGGATAGCCATGGCTACAATTTAATACTTATATACAGGGTGTTCTTAATTGTCGTATCAATATTAAAGTGGATAGTTTATTGGCCTATTTCACGACTAAATTTTTTTATATGCATGTGCTTTAAGGTTTTTTTAATTTTGGTCCAAAAACAACTGCAGAAAAACAATTTAGAGGGCATGTTTATATGCAATTTTAGTAATAAAATAGCCACGAAATACCCTGTATACTAAAGTCATTTTATGGTATGTACTTAAGTTTTGGTAAAAAAACTGCAGTTGTTTTTTTTTACCCTTTCGAGAATTTCACTACACCCTTTAAGTAATTCCGTTAGACTTCCCCAGTCAGGCTTCCTCAATCAGGCTTGGATCCAGCAACTTTTTTTTGTGAAGGGGGAGATGGAAAATCATCAAATGACTTCTAGGAAGGTAGCCCAGATGTGCATATCTCCAGTGAGAAGTGCGCGTAGGAACCCCTAGGCATCAGCGCCCTTCTTTCTAAGAGCCTACCAGCTAAAAATCTTCTGCTCTTCCTTCTCTTTTATTTCGCTTCTGCTCTTCGCAATCGCCTTTTGGGGCATATCTTCAGAGTACAGGGCAGTCTTTTATTTTTAGTCTCCTTGTCGCTGCACTGCTCTTTCATCCCGTTCTTTTATTTTCATTGTTTTTCATGGTGTATTCCATAATGACTTGCTTCTGCAGTATATTATTGATTTTTAGTACCTCCCTCAATTTTGCATGCACCACTTGTCGGAGTATTTCATGCCTTATATAACATAAAAATGTGCTCTGATATGTTTTCTTGTTCGCAGTAGATACAGAAGTCATCGAAAATTAATTCCTATCCTTTTAGTAGATGATTTAAATGATCCGTATTCGCTTAGCTCCTGTTTTATATAAAATTCGATGTTTCTGTATTTACAGTCGTACCACCTTTTAACATCTGGTATAAGCTATTTTGTCAATTCTGTCTTTCCCAATTGATCTTCCTATATCCTTTTCCATCTGTCTAGACTCCAGTTACTGACTTCCCTCAATTAGGCTTTTGTTCCAGTTTTCCTTCGCTGAGGTTCACATGGCAGCACTGCAGCCTCACAGGCTTATTGTATCTTATTGTACCACCCTCTGCGAATATGATCGGTCTTTTGAATACCTTTCGCAGTTAGCTAGCGACTCGGAATTATGTGTTTAAAGCCATTCAAGAATTTTTATAAATAATTAAATTTTCTGAGAAATATTTTGTATGTATGTCCCTATTATGCAGGACATAACATAATACAAAAATGGAATTCATTGCCTGTTGTCTTTCCTTTTCTCTTCTTCAAACCTAAATTAAAAGCACCTATGAATGTGGTTGCATGTAGTTTGGTGTGCCTCAGTGCTGTCATCGTGGCCCATTGCTTTAAACTTATTTGTAAATGATCTCGACATTTTCTATGTAATTTATGATTTTATTAAATGATTTACTAGATGATCCATTTATGTGATAAATTATTCCCTATTATAGTTTATTATCAGACTGCAAAAAGTGGCACGTTGTCTTTTTTGCTTGGTATTTGTAGTTGGCTGCAGAGGTGAGGGGGTGAACAACATGTACTATGTCCAAGTGCCTTGTGAAATTCAAAGTAAAATTGCTTATCGCTGAATTTTTACTTTTTTTTGCTGGCAATGAAATGTATGCTTCTAGAACTCAATAACAATAAAAAATCAATTTGTAAGCATTTTTTCTTGAAAACCCAGGGTGAATAAAAGGGTGAATGAAGTAAAACTCCTAAATTAAAAATGCTTGCAAGTGTAATACTCTTATTTGAGAGTCGTGCAAACATTTTAAAAGCTATTAAACCCTTTTTCTAAATTTACACGTATTCCAAATAACTGATCAACCCTTTCACCGGCACAAAAAAAATACTTGCAATATCATCTTAGATTCAGAAAACACGCATTTAAGCTACGTCCCGAAGTTCATTGAAGAAGGAAAATATCCGGTCACGTGTCCCAAATCCCTACACCGGAAGTAGCAGAACCGAACTACAGAAAATGCTTGCAGAGCGATTTTTTTTATTGTTGACATCTAGAAACATATTTCATTGCCAGCAAAAGAGGAAAAATCAGTTGATAAGCAACTTTACTTTCAATGTAAATGTTTTTCAACCCGCTTCCATGTACAAATAGCAAAAAAGACGACGTGCCACTTTTTGCAGTCAGACAAGGAACTATATTAATATTAGATTCATTAACATTTTTAACCATTAGATACCTACCTTAAACACATAATTATTTAATAGTAAAGTGGTACAAGCAGCAAAAGAAATCCCCATTGCTAAGAAGTTTGCTGCGGAAAACGCCTTAGCTATATCGGATATTGTCTAAAAAAAATAATATTTAAGGGTAGTGTATTAGTTTGTTCTTCCAAAAGCTAACCAATTAATTTTCAGTTACTTTAAAACAGTTTAAGTTGGTTGACAAGTTTAGAAAAGCACCTTTTTTAACATTAGGCTAAATTGACAAGCTAAATGGAAGTACTATAGGATATACATATACAATAGTATCTTATAGAAATGTCGGGTTAAAATGCATATTTCAACTGTTGAATAACTCAAATGAATACGTCCAGTAGCGGCATGTGGTTTAAAAGATTGGAAGTGCACAACCTTAAAATAAAATTTGAGAAGTTCACATCATGTGCAGCACTTGTGCAGTTATCGAGAAACCGTCACTGAAAATATCATCATCAATGCCTTTTATTGAGGCACCTTAATGACATTTCAATATTGACATGCAATAATTGAAATGACATGAATAATTTTAAATAGTAATACTACCTAGTAGACAATAAAGAGATATCGCAAGTTCACTCTATTTGTGCCGCTCTTCTTTTGACATCTTAACATGAACAGATCAATCAAGTTCTAGGACTACTTTATTAATGATAGTACTTTAATTATGGTGTTTTAACGACAGCAAATAGTGGCGACTTTAATAACATTCGGGTGCGCTTGCCGACATTCGTATTGGTACGAAGTTTTCTAATGTTACATTTTCAATACCATTTACATCTAAATAAACTAAAATGATAATTTTCTATTGTCTCTTTCTGTAATGACTAATGTTAAAACAGATTTGCAATAAGTCTTACTTTAACATGGAATTTATTTTTCTGTTAATACGTCGGCACTATTAGTGGCTAACGTTATAGACATTTGCAATCTCTTTAATGTCCCTTTTGTGCATGGCTGCATGCCAATTTTGAAGCGATTAATGAGAACGCATCAAAAATGGTAGTTGAAACCCAGTAACGTATGTACTTACCAGAGGAATGGCAAAATTTCCTATTCGCTTCTTCGTGCCTATTCCCAAAAGGTCGCGTATCTGCGAATTTACGATATGATAGGCAGCGGCACAAGTAAAGGCATTAAGAAACGTTTCTGACAATAGCTGAGCAACTATTCCAAGTCTTAAAACATACATGCATAACTACAGAAAATATTTATAGTAAAATAATACGATAAATTGAAATTGTTCGTAAGAGTTGAGCCCGCCACTCACTATTCGTTGATGCATCGATTTGATGCATGGATGCGCGAATCTTTGCATATTGAAGAAGTTGCAGTGCGCCGATGCAATACGTTGTGCGCCGATTCCGCGCGATGTCGGTTTATGGACGAACCATCAAAGAAAATGATGCAGAATGACGCATTGCACGCATCGGCAAATCGACAAATTGCACATTATGATGATTCGTCATGCGGGTGCGCTGATGCGAGACAAATTTCCAACAACAGTTCTTTTACTGCCTATGCACTGCAACTGCACCAACAAATCGCACCGTCGCATCGAATCACGTACTATGAGTAGAGGGAGCTGATGCGTAAATTCTTCTGCTTACGATAAACGCAAATCCTGGAAGAGGACTTCGAAAACGAACCCGAAATAGAATACCTTGAGCCCTCATCTCCGGATGAGGTGAGAGGCATAATCAAACACCTATCTGCCAAAAAAGCCCCAGGCAGGGACAAAATCTCAATCCGAGCGATTAAGCACCTCTCGCTTAAAGCCATAGTCTACCTCACAGCCATCATAAACGAGATCTTAAGAACCCAATACTTGCCCAGACTGTGGAAACAAGCAGAAGTGATTATGATACGGAAACCAAACAAGGACTCCAAATTTCCGCAAAATTACAGGCCCATTAGCTTGCTCTCAGCTATGAGTAATATTGCGGAAAGAATTACCTAAGACGACTAAACACAGAAACTAGAGACCTAAACATCATACCCGACGAGCAATTCGGATTCAGAGAGGAACACTCCACCGAAATGCAAGTCCTGAGACTCGTCAAAGGGATCACTAGAGGATTTAACAGAAATCAGTCTACAGGAACCATATTCTTGGATGTCGTCAAGGCATTCGACAGAGTATGACATGCTGGGCTGATTTTCAAAATGAAGGACCAAGGGTACACAACAGGTATGACAGGGCTGCTCAGGTCTTACCTCAGCGGAAGGCAATTTCGGGTCAAGATGGGACACGTCCTATCTAGACTAGGAATTCCGGAAGCGGGAGTACCCCAAGGAGCGGTAATGTCACCACTGTTATATACCATTTACACAGTGGATATCCCCAAAACCCAACATACTACCATGTCCATCTACACGAACGACACAGCGATATCGGCAACAAGCACACAGCCAGGACTCATATCAATATATCTACAAGACGCAGCGGAAGACATAGAAGAATGGTTCATACGATGGAAGATCAAGATCAACGCAGAGAAGATACAGGCTGTGCTGTTTAAGAAGAGACATCACCCACCTGGAGAAGAAATAACGATGAATGGACAAGACAACCGACTCATCCAAATACCTCGGAGTTATTATGGACTAAAAACTCACCTTCACCAAGCACGTGGACATGGTAGTAAAGAAAACCAAACAAACTAGAGCAAGGCTAAACTGCTTAATAGGACATAAGAGCAACCTCCTACTGACGACTAAAATGAGGCTCATTTAGGCAGTAATAATTCCTATACGCCTCGACCGCATGGGGATTTATCTGTAGGATAAAGGGGAAGAAGATTCAAAGCCAGCAGAACATCAGCCTGAGATGGGCCTCAAACGCATATCGATACGCTAGAAACGACGTGATTATGAGGGATCTAGAATCCGAAAGGGTCCTAGATCTCATACACAAGAAAGCCACTGACACCTTCGAGAAATTAGAACACACTCGAATATGGAACTACGAGAACTAGCAGAATACGAGAGAATACGGATTATAGGAGACACGCAAGGCCACGCAAAGTGCTAGACTATGGCGGAGAGTAGGATTGCCACCTGTCCCTTTTGGAACAGGACAGTCCCTTCTTAAAGCAAAATGTTCTTGTGACTTTTTAAAGCTTAAAATGTCCTTTTTATGGCAAATGTCCTCTTTTTCTACGACAAATGTTTTTTATACACATATGCACATATTGTTAGAAGTGACATGGTTTGTACAAAAGTATATAAGTAGAGGACCTTTTTTTTAGAAGTTCATTAGAAGGATGAGGACCTTTTGTATACCAGAGCACCTGTCAGCATCGTAGTCCTTTTTTCACTTTTCAAAAAGGTGGAGAGTGGAGAGTGATCAAACCACGGAAGGTGCAAAAATCGAAGACACTCGATAGATTATAAGATTCTTTTTCAGCATTCTTTTTCATCATTCTTTTTCATCATTCTTTTTCATCATTCTTTTTCATCATTCTTTTTCAGCATTGTTTTTCAGCATTCTTTTTTAGCATTCTTTTTCAGCATTCTTTTTCAGCATTCTCTTTCAGAATACAAAACGCGAATCAGACAAGGACTGAGCAACTTACCCACCTGGGGAAGAAGGTCCTGCTACTCGGCAACGGAGACTGGGAGAGCTTTTGCAGGTGGCGAACCTCACAGAATGTGCACACATACGACAACAAACATACGACGAAACAGAGAAATGCCCTCAGCACCGGCATGACGAATCTTCACAATGCGCGATTCGTCGATGCGTCCAATGCGTGCATCATTTTCTTTGATGATTTGTCCGAAAACCGACATCCGCGGAATCGCCTCACAACGCATTGCATCGGCGCACTGCATTATCCTCACTATGCAAAAATTCGTGCATCAATGAATCACATCGACGCATCAACGAATAGTGAGTGGCGGGCTTTAGTCGAAAGGTCTATGTGTCACGCTGGATATTAAATTACAACAAGATAAGAAACAGGGCTTTGGGAACATATTACTTTGAGAAACACGAAGACTTGTAAATTTTTGTCAGGTTAATATGGTTTTCCACTCATCGTCAATATGCTATTTCTGTTGAATTCAATTCTGTTCCGTGTAATTCACTGACCAGCGTGGATGCTTTCTGAATATATCAAACTGCCACCATTTAAGGAAAAAGTGAATAATAAAGCAATTTTACTTGATCAATTAACTGTTTTTAGTAGTACTTTAATGAAACCTATTTTATCAGGATATCTAGATACTAACGAATGTATAATTTCTTATAGTCAAAGCGCATATAGGTACATTAACCTTTGATGTAAAGACCTACCTCTATTAAGGCCACTGTAAAAGAAATGGTTTGTGCCACTTCGACATCAGTATACTGTGAAGAATAAAAATCATGTTTTGGATGAATTAGAGTTTTAGTGAGATTTTTTTCGGTTCGAATCGACATATGTTCAGTTACAACTGCTCCTGTCATCAAAGAAACCGCAGCGAATGTACCTGCAACATAATACCTACCTATACATTAGTACTAAGTTAGGTATACTTTTAAAATAGGACAAAACATTGTTAATATATAAATCAATAAAATAGAACCAATATCATCTGAACCGTGCGGAACACCTGAAGACACTTACTTCCCACAACAGAAATATCACATACTATAACATGTAGCTGATTTAATCCACTTTAGGGCCAGTTTTTCAATAACAGTTTAAACTTTCGTTCACCTAAACTTGGATAAAATATAGAACTGAGATTAACATTAATGGCGTCTTTCAATCATGTCAATATCACAGTTCAGATAATCCAAGTTTAATTTATATTGGTAGTTCTGAATCAAGAGACTTCTGACAAAACTGAATGGTCTATGTCAGTATGACGTTTTAAAAACATGTTTAATAAAAGTGAAGATAAAAAATTGTACGAAATAGAAAAAAATTGACGGACCACCAATTTTTTGAGCAACGAAGAAGAATTGTTGCTAAATTTTGCTTGCTGTACTCTTATGTACTCTAGAGAAGTAGCCGGTGGATTAAGAAAGATTACGATGCAAAATATCCTATAGTTAACAGAAACATGACTTTAGCAGTTAGGCATTATTTCTAGAATAAAAAATATTCGTTTTTATAAATTTTATTATCGAGTTTTCAGTTTATTAAATAGGCAGCAATTTCACCATCTTCTTCACTTATTACTTTGAACATAAAATGTACAAAAATTGTGAAAAGCGCTAGTTTAGTGATGATTTAATTATGGTTCCACTGACAATTAAAGTGACAGTAGATTTTTTGAGTGCGTTTTGTTCGTTTTGTTTACCTATATTATATCGTTTTTTCACTTTTATAAATATATTCCTAAAGTAAGTAGATAGCATGTATCAAATATACAATCGTTTAGTTACCAATTACATACCTTTAAACTGTTTTTTATGACCTGTAAACAATATTTTGAAATAAAATAAAAACAGTAAAAACGTATATGTCAAATTTATTGATGTTTTTGTTAAAAGTTTGGTTAGAATTAAATACCAGTGGAACCAAAATGACATCACACTGAACTAGCGCATTTACTTATATTACGTCAATCTCAAAACATTGATCTTAGTTTAAACGCCCAACTTTGATGGTTCCATTTTTCGTATAGTTTAAATTAAGTTCTGACGTGAACTACATTTGAAATACACCATCTTGCAATTAAAACCAGTACATTTAGGACCGATTCCACCGTTGTGTTAAACGAAGTTTAAAATGACATTTTTACATTAACAATTTCATTTTAATCTCCGTTTAACTTAGTTTAAACTTTGATTTAAAAACTGGCCATAAAGGGTCATTTGTACCGCCAGTCGTTAAGAAATAATCAAAGGTTAAAATTACATTTTTAATGGAAACATTTCAGTTTAAATTTGGCTTATTTTTTTACGACTAGCGGTGCAAATGAAAGATAAGTTAATAATTACATGTTACCCTAATTTCAGACACCAATTTTCAAATGTGTATCGATCGACTTAGATATGTCAACTTGGTAATCGATTTTGGCTGAAGAATTTAAAAGCTTCTGATAACCAAATTAGTCATTGTCTAGCGACCTTTGTAGCCATACTGCTTGTCAATAACTGATTAGTTCAAACGTGTTGAATACTTCAACTGATAAGATTAATAAAAAAAAAATAGAAATTGCTGAGGCCAATGATATTTGTTGCATAGCCAGTTCTGATTTAATGAAGAAGAGAACAGATTGTACCTGTAGGCTGTAGGGGATCTACGTCAATTCATCGCCCGACAATTCATCGCGCGAAAATTCAGAGCCGACATTTCATCGTAAGACGATTCACCGCTACGACAATTCACCGCCACGACAATTTGTCGCCAGCCATTTTTTAGAATTCATTTTATGGTTTATTTTATTTTTTTATTATAATAAAAATTTTATTTTATATATTTTTTAGTATAGGTAATAAAAAATAAGTAGGTATATTGAAAAAAAATATATTATAAAAAATTGTAGTTGCTAGTTATTACATTTTATATTGAATTAATAAATTATAATAATATTAAATAATTTAGACTTGCATTCGAAAATTATGCGCAATTCCTCAAAGATATTCCATGGTATTACGAGCGTCGTAGGATTCTGTAAGTAGTTTTAAACGACGTGCAGAATCTTTGTAAATTTTTTTTTGAGTAATTTCATTACCTGCCACAATTTGCTCTATTTTCAATTTGTTAAGGCTTTCCTCCTTTTGTAAAGCCTTAATTAGCCTCCAAATGTTGGGATGTGCAATGGAAACAATTGAACTGAAACTGTTATGCCATCCTTCAACTGCATTATTGGTTCTAGCAATTCCCTCTCTGGCTGCATTGTAACAATTCCAAGAAGATATAGGAAATTTTGGTAACCGTCTTCTTCCTCTTCTGTCTAATCTACCAATCCACGTGTCTTTAAAACAGTTTATTAAATCTTGTCCTCGTTTTCTGCATAGAATTCACTTTCCAATAATAAATCAAAAGCACTCTCTACATCGTCTTCAGGAACATAACCAAGTGCAGCCAGAAGTCGCAAATTTGATGAAAACACTTCTTCATCCACATATCGCCTCTGAAATCCGGTATTCTGGATTTGTCTCCATATACACTGAGAAAAATGAAAAAGCATCCACGAATTTGAGTATTAGGGAATTCACTTCGTACCGCATTCATCGCTGCTTTTTCGAAATCCATTAAAAAAGATATAGGGCAAAGTTCAGGTTTCAAATTTTTTAATGTTGCATATAAACGTCTATAGCTTTCTTCTCTTTTATTCGGCAGAATTGCATATACTGTTGGAATGGTATTTGAATATTTGACGCCATGGATTGTATATATTTGGGAAAACATATTAGGGGCTGTTGAAAAAGTTCCATCTCCGTACCAGTGTTCACACTCCAACATGTAGTCAAGATTTCTTGCTGTTGTAAACACTAATATTCGATCTTCTGATGGGCCGCTGTCGTACATTAAAAATAACTGACCACTGCTTGTCAGTGTATATTCCTGTGGAATAACTAATTGAAGCAGAGAATTTGGAATCGCAGAAATTTCTTCTGTCTTTTCCTTTTTTCGTTGAATAGTTCTTTTCATTTTACTCACTTGTAGTAATCTGGCTGCAGCCGATGATGATAAACCCTCGGAAACCTTTGCAATGATTTGTTGAGTAGTGGAACCACTTTGTTCAGCTAAAACTTTCATTTTTTTAACAGCTCTTCTTACTTCGGCATCAGCACTATCTGACACATGATTATGTTCGGTACTCTTCACAATTTCATCGCCTATGGTATGAATGCGACCGGTACATCTCCATTTATGATATAGAGAACATTTCCAAATACCTTTTTCTCCAGAAATTTTTTCTCTAGAATGTGTATGGCCATTGTATAAAAGCATTTTGTGGCCTCTTTCGCTGTCAACAAATTGTAACGGCATTTTCAAATTTTACAATGATGTAAACTCGTACAAAGACAAAATAAGAATGATTACAGTTCGTTGGTATTTCTTATTTAAACCTTATATACATATATTATAAACAGGGCATCTAAAATACTAACTTACACAAACAAGCTATTGAAGATAATCCTTTTTAGAATTAAATATTGATTGCACTATGAATTTCTCCTTGAAAGGATTAATAAAGGATAATTATAATTCTCTATTATTATTAACTAATGTGGTAACTTACACGAATTGGCTAATGAAGATAATCCTTTTTAAATAGTAGGGACTGTTGAGAACCTGCGACTGCCGCTTATACACTTTAAATTGGCTTATCAATAATACATTATTGATATTTATTATATTTTTCTTAGTAAAAACTACTTGATTAGCAGAAAAAAAGTAAATCATATTTTTGTGTAATTTAGAGTAAGATATTTTGTAATTTTTTCGAAAAAATAATTTTATTTGGTACTTATAAGAAAAATTCAATATAGCACAAAAAAAATTGTTTGTTTTTCAGACATACTGTATAAATCATAGATACAATACGATATTTTTGTGGCGATGAATTGTCGTAGCGATAAACTGTCGTAGCGATGAAAAGTCGTGGCGATGAATTGTCGGCTCTGAAAGGTCGCGCGATTAATTGTCGCGCGACGAATTGACTGGATACCGGCTGTAGGTACTTCGTACTTACCAACAGAAACATGTTTTGATGTTCCAAAAATGACATAAACTAGAACAGGGAAAATTGACGTATAAATACCATTTACAGGAGGTATGTCAGCCAGTACTGCGCAAGCCATTGCCTTAAATGAAATAAATGCTGAGTATGGTTATAGATTGCGTTTGAGAATCCACATCGGATGCATTTTTTACAATTCGAGCGTTTTTTTATCCACATCGGACGCATCTGTTCCATTACATTTACATACTGTATCACGTGATCAACGATTTACTACATCTCAGATGCATCCGATGTGGATTCTCAAACGCGGCAATAATATAGTATACTAGTTGTTGCCCGCCGCTTAGCACTCGTGGAGTCGTGTTTTTAATGTAAAAAAATTAATGACTTTCCGAAAAAAAAAGGAGCAATATGTTTTTTAAGGTTCATGGTATGTATGTGTTAGTATATCAGATTAAAGTTAGGTACAGTATATAAAAAAACATGCCAAGTTGATAAATTTGAACGCTTTATAAACCAAGATAACAAGTTTGTTACAGGAATTATCTAATTAAATATTTATATTAACAAAAAAACTAAAAATAATGTAGTTAACTACTTTAAAATTATTTTAATAATTTGAAAAAATTAAATATCTAGAATCTAGAATCAAATGTATTTTACTATTATTATGGAGATTACATAGACCAAACTAGAAATTATGCGTTTGACATATTTGACAGCTGATGCGGAAAGTAGATATATTCACACACGGGTGGAAAGTAGATTCTTAACCACACGTGTGTAAAATATCCTGATATTCTTAAAACAGCTGCTCATACTATCTACAAGTTACTGCAGTCAAAATCAAGAGCAAGTATGAAATGGTATACTAAAAGTTTATGTATAAAAAATAATATAAAAATATTTTCTGAGAATGTGCTTTTGGCATATTTTGAAGAACTAATGAAATAATTCAAACATTCATCATTATGGGCAATGTATTCTATGTTAAGAATCGTCATTTCCATAAACAATAAAATGAATATTGAAACGTACCAAAAATTAAAAGCATACCTCAAAAGGCAATCAGATGGTTTTAAAATGAGAGTTTTTTTGATGAGAAACAAGTAAATTTTTAAATGAAGCATTTGATTCACAAATTAACAAAGGTTTGTATCTAAAACAATTTGTTCTCAGTTAATTTAGTATTTGCGTTTGTATTTACAATATTTTTAAATAAATATATTTAAAAAATAATAGATTATGGGAGCCTTCTCATTATTATAAATATATGATTATGGTTATAGATAAAGTATAGTACGTTACTTGAGTTATAAGAGCAAGTACATGCTCAATTAGCTTTTTACTACTCTTGTTATGTAATATAATATTTTGTATGGCTTCATAAATGTGTTTTGTAATGGAAGCTATTTACCTGAGGTAGTTGTAAGACTGCAAGAGTCATACCGCTCACTAAATCTCCCGCAAACCATTCTTTCCATATATAACCTGGCAACCAGTCTAACAGAGGTACTATTTTTTTTAAGCTTGGTTTAGGTTTTATTAATTTAAGTAGCTTTTTAGATTTTTCTTTGCCTACAACAAAAATATTTTGACTATATTTAGAATAATCTATTGATATATTCATTTACCCTGGTTTAAACTTACATGAATCATGAGGTTCTTCAAATTTGCATATTTCGTTTAATTCATCCATTTCATAAACTGGTCTTTCAACAACCATTTCAGAGCTCTTTCCAGTAGTACTTCTCATAATACTGGAAAAAATAAAAAAGTGCTTTGCTTAAATTTTTTAGTTCATTATTTTGGCAATTAATTAATCTTTGTTAGTAAAACTTTCTAGTTCTAAAAAAACATTTAAGTACTTAATTATTACAATTTTTTCTTCATTAAAATATTCGTCATTTGGAACAATATCTTTCATAGCAGACGTATTATTTCATATTTTTAAAAATGGACCTACCTGATTTTTTTGAAAGATTACAGTATTTGACATATTATGATATGAAATGTATTAATTAAAAGCTGTCAAACATAAAATGCACATTAGGGCTCCGAGCAATTACTAATAGAGGGAGCGTGAAAACGAGTTTGTAGGCGATTGTTGTGTTAGCAACATCTGAAGAGAAAGTGAGGAAGCGGGCACAAGGGGGAAGGTAAACATCCTTCTTGTTCAGTGGCGTATCATTTATCTATAAAAATAGACATTGTCCAAACGTTTTAATTTAAAAAAAAAAACTAAAAAATTTGCTAATTTTACTATTTTTAAAATGAATACCGTCTTATATGTGTCTAATGCAGGAAATGAAACAAAATCACTGTAAAGGTCTAATTTTTTCAATTGAAGAATGAAACCTTAAAATCAATTTTATTATAAATAAATACAGGAACGACTAGTTTCGGCCTTACAGGAACATCTTCAGGCCTGTAATACAATAATCTTTAATTATTATAATAGGTTGGTCACTTACGAATAACATTAAATAGTATAAACCACAAAAATGGATCCATGTTGTAGCGTTACAGCATATAGAATTAAAGCTGTGAAAATAAAAGAGCTGTGCAAACGTAACTAAAAAGAAAACTGAGTACGGAATCTACAAGAGAAGAGGTGAGAATGAGCAATTATGAATGCATTTAAATTGCTCGGGATAACAAATAAAGCTGATAATAATGTAGAGGTATAGTCCCCGTCAAAGAAGGTCTGGATATGTTAAAGAGGACGGCGTTTTCTCTGTAAATCTGGAGAATGTAAAGATGGAGGGAAGACGAATCTTGCTGGCTCAGGTGTAGATGGCAAGAAAAATTAGCGTGTGGATGAAAGCTCCAGTAAATATTGTCACTTTCGTCTAATTTTTTATTCTCACTCACCGTTTCGGCTTTATCTTCGAAATTCATTTTTAAAAGGAAATAAAAGTAATCATTTATACAAGCATATAATAAAACAACATGAATTCATTATATTTAATAAGCTAATAAACGTTTGTTTCAATGAAAAAAACACATATGTGAATATAAAAAATATATAAATAGATAAAATTAATATCAAAATCAATTTGAAAATACAACAGATAATAAAACAAAATAAATTAATAGAAAGTTAATAACATACTTTCTAAAAGTAACACATTTTAAGTAGATAAATGTTTAAAGAGTTTAATCCTGAACATAACTAATCTAACGTTTTCCCCCTTTTTAATATTATGAGGGTTTTTGTAGTTGAAATGAAAATTATAATTTATTATGGTCCTAATAAAAATTTAAACATAGGTTATCAAAGAGTAAAATACATAATAGAACTTCATAATCTTAAATCGGTATCAAAAATTATTAATGGTAAAACCTCAAACAATAATTAGATTCTTAAACAAATTTCTAGTTTTTGTTTTGCAAAAGACTTTTTTGCCTTCTTCGGTAGCCTCTGCCACTTTTCTTTTAGTAGTTTCGAGGAGAATTTTCCTATGGAAACCAGTAGAACCATCAATTGGTTGGTAAAATTTTGATATTTTGGGTCTGGTAAGTCTTGTTAAACTTTGTTCTTAGGAAGCTGTAACCTTATGGAGAATAAAAATTTAATGTTAGATCAAATGCTCTTAATTGAGAATTATATTTGCAAAGGCCGGTTTAATAATATTTTCAAAAGTTCTTGGAATCGTTGTTAACAGAAACCTGCAAAAAAATATATCATTTTATTCCTAAAATATAAGATATCACACAATGCACATTCATATCATATCATTGTGCTAGAAAAATACTAGGTAGGTACTGAGACAATTTAAAAAAAGTATTTCGAGAAACTCAACTTTTAATGTCATCATTGTACTTAACTTTTTTATTGCTAAATTATTAATAATGTCATTTTGTGTAGTTCGTTGTGATTTGTATAATATATATTATAAAAACCTTTCATCAATGTTAATGTGCCAAGTTTTTTTAATAATTATGTCCTTGTTATAGTAAAAACACATTTAAACACATTTTTAAAGTTTTCTGGATTTCTGCTTTAAATTATCGTACAATTGAACTGACTAATTGTGTGTTTAAGCAAAGGTATGTCTCTTTTTTGTTATAACAGTCTTTCTATATTGTTCTAACTTTTTAGATAATCAGAGAAAACAGTAAGACATTTTAATATATCCTATTTCACCAACAAAAATGTAGAATAATTAATCTCACATTAAACGAAAAAAGTCATTTTTAGGATGTCCTAATAGGTTTTAACTTAAAAACTAAATTAAATGTATATTGCAACTGTGTTTAAATAAATAAATGTTTTTATACCTGACTATAGCACCAGACAAACAGTTTTTTAGATCATAATGATCTGCATAACTCAAAATAGTCAAAATCCACATTATTTAAGTTGTTCTAGTATTGTTTTAGCATAACGATGTAAACTCCAATAATAAATATTCACATTTTTTTGGGACGTTTTTTAAGGAAATAAAAAAAAACATGAATAATGTGATATTCTTGTTTAGTTTTGTACTATATAATATAGTTCATTAGGTAGTGATTTAGAAGCAAATTATTTTCTATTTATAGAATAAAAAATCACTCATAATATCTAAATATTTATACCCATTTATATTTTGGACAGGAAGACTATTTTATGTTTTTGGCTCTGAATAGTTTTATTAAGAATTTTGAAAGATTCCTTAGCTCTTTTGGGATACTCCATGCATATCTTAGAAGTTCATTTTGTTTAAACCTAAAACCAATTAACTACAAAAAAATGAAAATTTAAACATTACACAAAATTAGTCTTTTAGACTAGTTAAAAAAAGTGTCAACAAAAAAATGGCTATGCCTTTTTCCTTAAACATTCTTTTTGAAAGAAACTTAGGTTTCTCTACTTACTTGTTGTTTTAGTATTTTAGTAGCAGATGAATATAGTGTAGAAGTATCGACAGGATTGATTATTATACTTCTTTCGTCGAAATTGCATTTTTCTTTAATATTTTCCTCCCCTGAGGTCTGTAATAAAAATGTTCATTAGCATAAAAAGTTATTCAGGTGGACACTTGTTGAATTCCTATATTTTGGAACCATGTATTGCTTTCTCATATCAAGAAAAGGAAACCTAAAAAAAAAAATAACAATAAACTTTACAAAGATGTGATATTAAAATAATAATAAGTAATTAACCTTTACTATAATCATTATGAGACGGATGAAGACGAACTTAGCTGAAGTTTACTTGCTCTTAATTTTAATTTTTCGATAAGAAAATAAGAAAGTTTAATTGCAAATTAAAGGTGATTACCTAATGCTTCGCCTCTGATAATTAGGTTGTGTCTGTACTTAGTTATGATATTATCTTGAAGAAGCATTTTCAACAGGTCTTTTACACATAAAGCATATTTTTTTACCATACTATTAGAGATATTAAATCTTAAATATACATTTACAACCCTTACAACGTTATAAATAATAATATTTTCCGCAAAATACAAATAAGAAATTGACATGTGTCAGAAAGTGTCAGAACTGGCGCTGTCAAACTTGGCAACGATGATTAAATAAGCCAATTACAGAAGAGGTATTTTCCCCCCTCGGGGGGAGTAGATGTTGCTAACAAAATTTAGCGCGGGGAAGGGGGGAAGACTCCCTCTAGTCATTAGGGACCCGATGCATTTTAGCGCGAGACTTGACCTTTCCCATTATTCGACAATTTCGCATTACTCATTAGCAAAAAAAGCGCGCGACTTTTGAATCTATTAATTTTCCAAACATTCTACTATATCCTTCTTATCTTCGTCTTACTTGGGTTGACTACGACGATTATCCCATATCATCGTTACTTTAAACAACTATTATCGATTCTATATAGTAGGACAGTGAAACTTTTTAGTGCCCATTTGCAGAAGGCGATTTAGCGGTTAAATGTCTTGTCAGCAAGCAAGAAGCCGAATTTCAAGAAACATTTTTCTACTAACTTTCGATGTAAATAGTATTTGAAAGTTTCAAGTTTGCGCTTCTATGACAGGTTTTTTTAAAACGTCATCGTCGAGGGATCTCTCGCTGCGTAGAAAACGATTTCCATGTTCTACAAGGTAAGAATGAAATAAAATTTTACCTCTCATAAATAACACATCTAAAAGTGTCACTGGCTCCCTTACCATTACTATCAAACTCAAAAACAAAATAACATTTGCTGATGTATAATTGGAACTCAGGGTATGAAATAAAACAACAAAAAATTTGACGATTTTAAGCAAAAGTAGAATTTGCGCATGAGTAATTGAGATCATCAATAACGGAAAAGGTCCATTCCGTGCGTGACAGATTTGCAGCGATAAGTTAGCGCCGAGTCCAATTATATTAAGATAATTTAGCGTTGGGACAAATTATAGTGAGCCAAGTTAGTACCTGGTCAAAAAACAGCGAGACAAATTAGCTCGTGACAAAATATTCCACTCTGCCTTTCCCGTTATTAATGATCTCTGTTACTCATGCGCAAATTCTACTTCCGCTTAAAATCATCAAAATTTATTCTTGTTGTGTTTCCTACCCTAAGTTCCAATACTACTTTATATTCTAAGCAGAGATTTAATACTGATTTAATATCTGATTCTAAGGTTCCAATTCAGTCCGAAAATGTCATTTCGTTTTTACATTGGATAGTATTGGTAGGGGAACCATTAACACTTTTGGGTGTATTATTTACGAAAAGTACAATTACAAATATTTCGTTCTTTATTACCTTGTAGAACATGGAAACAGTTTGCTAGGCAGCGATGGGGCCCTCGACGATGGCGTTTTAAAAAAGCCTGTATAGAAAATGCTATCATATAATTGCAAGCTTGAAACTTTCAGATATTATTTTCAGCAAAAGTTAATAGAAAAGTTTGCTGCCACCTTCTGGAAATTCGGCTAACAGAACCTTCTTGCATAATGGATAA